ATTTTGGCTCCTGGTCTGTGGAGCCTTCAGTCGGTAACTGCCTGGCCGCGGGGCAGAGAGGGCAGGCAGGAGGCCGCGGCACAGAGGTAGCCAAGCTAGCAGAGGTCGCAGACCCAGGCCAGCGAGGTCCCTCCTTTGTGCTCCGTCCCGGCCGCCTATGCTTCAGGGGTGCAGCCACAGCCAGACCAGGGCCCCAGAGTCCCAGCATCACACACGCGAGGTGAGGCTTTGGGGGCCGTCTAGACGTCAGTCAGGACTCCACCTGATGCAAAGCCTCCTAATCAGGGTCGCGCAGCAGCCTGGGGTGGACATACCAGTATTGTTCAAGGTCCATCGTTCATATTGTGTGTGCACGCGTATAGTGCTGGGATCAAACTAAGAGCTTTGCACATGTTAGATAGGTCCCAGCCGCACGCTGTGGGTTCTAACCAGTGTCTAGTGACATGTGTCCCCGTGGTCTACTTTAAAATCCTGTGTTCCTCATCTCATGTCTTCTGCTTGGAAACCTCTTTTTATTGCAGTGATGAGGACTGAATCCAGGGCCGTCACACTGAACTACATCCCCAGTCCTTAAGAAACTTTTAATTTTGAGATAGGGTTCCACTAAGTCTCTAGATTTCCAAGCTAGGCTCCGTCTTGTGATTCTCCTGCCTCAGCCTCCTCAAGTGCTGAGATTACAGGTGTGTATCCCATTCCAGCTATCTCGGATCTCTTTATTTACTTACTTTTGTCTTTTTGAGACGGTCTTGCTATGCAGTTCAGGCTGGCCTTGAACTCACTTTGTAGCCCAGGCAGGCCTTGAACTCCTGTGATTCTCCTGCCTCAGCCTCCTAACTTCTGAAATTATAGTACTTCACCACCACACCCAGTTCTCTGATCTTTTTGTTTTGTTTTTTTTTTTTTTAAATCTGTACCAGGGATCGAACTCACGGCCATGCACTTGCAAGGCAGGTACTTATGCTGCTGAGCTAAATCCCCAGCCTCTGTTCTCTATCTTTTTAAATTATCTCCATAGTTTTCCTTTTTCAGGGTGACAGAGTTGGAACCATACAATATGAAGCCTTTTTCAGATTGACTTTTTCATTTAGTGCTAAGAGGCCAGGAGTTTAGCTGAGTGGCACAAGGGCCTGCCTGATGCGTGTGAGGTTGTGAGTTCGATCCCCATGTTTAGTAATAGGCCTTAAAGATCCCTCTATGTCTTTTCTAGGCTTGATAGGTCATATCTTTTAGCACTGAGCAATATTCATCATCTGGATGGAACATTTTCCTACTGACGGTATCTTGGGTGTGTCTAAGTTCTGGCAACAAATGCAATAAACATATGTGTGCCAGGTTTTGTGTGGACACAAATTTGCAGCTTATTTGGGTAAATAACAGGGAGCATAATTGCCAGACTGTCGAAGAGTATACAGGAGGCTGAGGCAGGAGGATCACAAGTTCAAGCCTAAGCCTAACCCGTTCATCTTCGCAACTTAGCAAGACTATATCTCAAGGAAAAATAAAGAAGAAGAAAAGAAAAGAAAGGGGCTGGGGGTGTAGCACAGTGCGAAGGCCTTGGTTCAATCCCTGGTACTGCCAAAGACAAAAGTTTGTTTATTTTTATTAGAAACTAAACAGTCTTGCCAGGCAGTCTTGCACAGTCTGTGCAGTCCTTTGCACTCCCATAGACAGCCAGTTAGTATTTCTATTGCTTTATGCCCTGCCAGCGGCTGGAGCTGTCAGTCTTGTGGGTTTGGAATATTTTACTGGGTGTGCACTGGTATTTGATGGTTGTTTTAATTTGCATTCCCCTAGTGACGGAGGAGGTAGAGAACTCTCCCTGTGCTTATCTGCCATCTGTTCATCTTGCTTGGTGAGATGTCTGTTCCGATCTTTGTCTGTTTTTATCTGGGTTATCCAGTTGTTGAGCTGTGTGGGTTTTGTGCGATTTGGGTGGAGGCTTCCATTAGACCGGTCTTTCACATGTTTTTCCCTCTGTCAACAGCTCGAACCTGTAATCCCAGCATTCTGGGAGCCTGGGCAACTTAGTGATTTATCAAGACCATGACTCAAAATAAAAAATAGTAGAAAGTCTGGGGATGTAGGCCAGTGCGAGGCCCTGGCTTCAATCCCAAATGTGAAAAAGATTTACTGTAATATGCACAGCTTTCTTTTTTCTTTCTTTCTTTTTTTGTCTTTTTGAGACAAGGTCTTGCTATGCAGTTCAGGCTAGCCTTGAGCTCACTTTGTAGCCCAGGCTGGTCTCAAACTCGCAACTATCCTCCTGCCTCAGCCTCTCAAGTGCTGGGATTACAGGTGTGAGCCACCACGCCTGGCCTAACAGCTTTCTATGAAACATAGAGGAATTTTGTGGTTTGACTCTGGTCTCACACCCGAGACACCTCCTTGTGTATATGGAGCTATTGCAAAATCCAAAACAAACCTGCATCATGAAACACTTCTTGTCCTGAGCGTTTTGGATGAGGGATCCTCAGCCTCTATTTTGTGGGCCTGGGTGGGGCTTATGACACTGAAATTCTATTTTCCGCCATAACTTTTTCAGTCATTTGGTTTTAGTTCTAGATGGAAGTGCGGTCAACACACACTGAGTCATTTTCACGGTTTCCCCTCTCCTGAGGGGATCGGTCACCTCTCAGAGGCTGCTTGTCATTATCAGGTGGTTTTTCCAAATCTCGTATATGCTTTTTGTGATTCCTTTTAATTTAAGGATACAGATTTCCAGCATTCTGGAGGCTGAGGCAGGAGATCGCTGCAAATTCAAGACCAGCCTGGGCAACAGAGTGAATTCAAGGCCAGCCTGCATTACATGAAAAACCCTGTCTTGAAAAACTAAAACTAAAAAGCCCATTAATGTAAGGATGCAAAAGCACCCTAACAAGGCTATAAAGATATAAAATAAAGCAAAATTAAACAGAACACTTGCGTCTTGATTACACTGTCCGCCTCTCCTGTGGTCTCTCAGTGGGGGGTCTTTTTTCCCCTTAATATTATTTTTGTTTTGATTATGATTCTCATAGAGAATTCACAGGATTTCCTACATTTCTAGCACAGTCATGAATAAATAGTTTAAATCACTGAATCTGCAATTTTATTGGAGGCATAGAAAAGACAAAGCAAGGTTCAAAATCATAGTTCTACTCAAAAAACCATCCTCCCAGATTTAAAGACCCAACCTAAAAATGGGCCTCTGAGATGAACACACACTTCTCAGGTGAAGAAATACAAACAGCAAACAAATACATAAAAAACAGTCAGTACCACTGATCATTCAAGAGATGCAAGTTAAAACAACACCGAGATTCCATCTCACCCCAGAAAGAATGGCTAGTATCAAGAAATCAACCAATAACAAGTGCTGGCCGAGCTGTGGGGAGAAAGGAGCCCTTCACTGCTGGTGGGAGTGCAGACTGGTGCAACCACTCTGGAAATCAGTGTGGAGATTCCCCAAAAATCTAGTATTGGAGGTCTTACTCATCTCAGCTATTCCCCTTCTGGGTATCTTCCCAAAAGACTTAAAAACATTAAGAGCTGGGGACTTAGCTTAGCAGCATAAGCACCTGGCTGGCAAGTGTGAGGTTGTGAGTTTGATCCCCAGTACCAAAAAAAAAAGAAGAATTTAAACATCATACCATAATGATGTATGTGCACCCATGTTTATAGCAGCACAATTTGTAATAGCCAGATCTTGGAAACAAACTAAGGGTCCATCAGCTAAGGAACGGATGAAAAGGATGTGGTATTTTTATACAATGGAGTACTACTCAGCCACAAAGAAGGATAAACTGGAGACTTCTATAGATAAATGGATACAACTTGAGAACATACTCACTAATAAGATAAATAAGACACACAAGTATAAACGTTATATTGTTTCATTAGTGTGAGAAGCTAAAAGAAAAATATAGGTGTATGTATATGAATATGTATATGTCTATGTCTATAAAAATAGTTAAGACAGCCAGACTACTGATTTCTCTGAGCTCACTGAAGAGAAAGATCTGTGCTGGCACTGTTCACACAACAGCACGCAGACGTCCTGTGCTCTGGGTGAATCATTTGGTGGTGACAGTGCACAGTGTATGTTTCATTGTTACCCCATGGACGTGTTTTGAAATTTTGTTGTATTTTTCTTTTATATTTGTTTTAATCCTTGAAGTAAAACAGATTTGGAAAAAAATCAAATCATAGTTCTAGCCAGATATGGGGGCACAGGTCTACAATCCTACCACTGTGGGAGCCGGAGGCAGGAAGATCTGGGTTGGGGCCCAGGCTGGGCACGCTGGTCACTTAGCAAGCCTGTCTTGTTTCTGGTGTTAAATAGTCTTAAATCTTGCCCCGTCCCCAAGTCAACACATATGAGCCTCTTCCACAGGCTGCTTCCACCTGGCACGGACAACGGTCTACCTTTACTGGCTGAGGACAGCTCTCCACCTTATTTGGACACTGGATTTTTTTTTTTTTTTTTTTTTTTTGGTCTTTTTCCTTTTTATCGGTACCGGGGATCGAACTCATGACTGCCTGTTTGCAAGGCAGGTGCTTATGCCGCTGAGCTAAATCTCCAGCCCTGGACATTGGATTTTTTAAAAACAGAATCTCACCTTGTGGTGCAATCTGGCCTCCAATTTAAGACAATCTTTCTGCTTCAGCCTTCCAAGTGCTGGGATTACAGCTGTGAATCACCACAACCAGCTACACTGGATTTTAACCAGCTAACTGGATTTTATCTCCTAGGACATTATTCTGTTTTGCTCTGTTGACGAAATCATGCTTATAACACTGTGTATCCATTAACTGTTATTCTGCAATTTCGGATCTTAGCAAGATTTCATTAAAAAAGCTGGTTTTGGCCGGGCATGGTGGTTCATGGCCGTAATCCCAGCACGTGGGCGGCTGAGGCAGGAGGATCCCTGTGAGTCTGAGGTCAGCCTGGGCTACATAGTGAGTTCAAGACCAGCCTTAACTACACCGTGATGCCTTGTGGGAAAAACAACAGCAACGAAACGGTTTCCAGGTTATTTTATTTTTTTGTCTTTTTATCAGTACTGGGGATCGAACTCAGGACTGGCTGCTTGCAAGGCAGGCGCTTATGCCGCTGAGCTAAATTCCCAGCCCTCCAGTTTATTTTTAATAGATGGTGTGACACTGGAAATATCTACAACTCAGGCGTTGGAGGACCAGAAGCTTACCCACTGCTGCTGGGAGTGTGACATGGGACAGGGCTGTGGTGCGGCTTTTAGGCAGGTGTCCTGGAGTTGACTTTACATCTGTGCAGTGACCAAACCCTCCTGCTCCTGGGCGTGTCCCCAGCGGTGAGGCAGAGCTGTATCTGTGAAAGGAAGTATGCATGGATGTTAACAGCGGCATGGGAGTCACAGCCCTCAAAGGGGAAGTCCCCAAATGCCATCCAGCTGTCTGTCCCCACACAGGACTGCAGTACAGGAATTAGAATGCAGAGCCACGCGCGGGCTGTGGAGGGGGGAGCTCACTGACTGGTGAATGAAGGGTTCAGACCCACGCCAGCAGGTGCTGCAGGGTTAGTGAGGCCCAAGTGGCCCCTGGTGACAGAGGACAGTCACTCCTAGTGGGGGTCTTGTCCGGAGGGGCCCTGGGGAGGCTTTCGGAGAGCTGGAAATGGTCAGTATCTTGGCTTGCATGGTGGTCACTGGATGCACTGAGCTGCATGGGTCAGATCTGTGTACCCTACTGCGTGTTTTTGGTGGTGGGGTGCCGGGGATTGAACTCACAACCTCATGCTTGCCAGCCAGGTGCTTGGGCTGCTGAGCTAAATCCCTGGCCCCCTTGCTGTGTTTTATACCTGAGGCATCAGTCTGCCACCCCCACCCCAAGCTCCGAAGACAGAAGTCACCTTGTGCAGGTAGAGTGGGTCCTCATGCTGACCCAGCCGCTCACCTGCTGGGTATTTCCCACCCCCGTGCTCCCCACTCAGAGGATACCCTGTCTTCCCTTCCCCCAATCTGGGTGGCCTTGTGACTAATATAACAGAAGTGACACTGGCTGACAGCCAAGGGCAGATCATAACAGGCGACAGCTTCCCCTGTGTGTCTTCAACATGCATTTTTGAAACCACTGGATAGGAAGCTGCTGGCCTGCCCTGTAAGATGGCTCAGGGAGACCGGGGGACGGAGGAGCCCGAGCTGTCCTGGCTGTCCCCTCTGCTCTGTTTTGCTGGCTCCTGCTCAGCTGCAGCCTCCTGAGCTAAATAAATGCTGCTGGTTGCTTTTTGCCCCTGCATCGTGGGATGTACCGATGCACACAGCACAGGTACCCAGCACGCCGGGCAGCCTCCTTCCCTGGCCCCACACGCCAGCCACACCACGGCATGCTCAGCTCCCCGCTGCAGAAGTGTGCGCGCTCTGCCTCGCTTCTGCTGTAGCTTCCGGGGAAGCCCTCCTGCTTGCAAGGCTGGGCAGCGTTGAAAGCAAGCCAGCTCCAGAACCAAAGCTCTAGGATCAAATCCAGGTTAGCAACTTCCAAGCTTGGTGCCTTGGGAACATTGCTGGACTCCACGCCTCAGTGTTGTCCCCTGTGAAATCCAGGTAGTAACAGTAGCTGCTTTGCAGGGGGCCGTTGCGAAGATTAAAGGTATTAATCTGTGGAAAGAAACCAAAACCTTCTAATGCAAGTACTCCGGGATGCTGAGAATTACTGTTATTGCTGAGAATTACTATTATTGCTCTGGTGTCCTGTCCTCTAAGATCTGGGAGCCCCATGACTGGGAACTAAGTTCATTCATTCATTCATTCATTCATTCTGGGCACATTAAATGCAACTGTGGGGGTCACCGAGGAGCCCTGCTCAGGGTGTGGGCCTTCAGGAGTGGATACGAGCCTCTCACCCATCTTGTGAGGAGTCCATGGCTTTTGCTCTCACCTCCGGAGTGCCAGCTGGGTGCCTGGTGCCGATCTAGTTTCTCAGGATGCAGCAGTGGAGGAGGTGGCAGCATCTCTGCCCCCAGGGGGGACAAGCACATAAAAGAGTGGGCAGACTTTGACGTGAGCTCCGAAGAGAAGCAGGACTGGAGGCAGGAGAAAGCGACGTCCTCCTCCTTTGCGTGGCGGGATACAGAGACCGGAACGTCATGCAGGATTTTGGAAGCCTGTGATGAGAAGGGACAAAGCAGGGCAGATGGAGGCAGGGCTGGCTGAGGTTAACGGGGGCCCAGGTGACCAGGCACAGGCCAGGATGAGCAGGGAGGTGGTGGTGGGTGGGCAGAGCCTGCGGTCACCTGAATTACTTGAGTCACAGGAGGTCAGCAGGTGGAGCCTTTAGGGATTACAAAAGCTAATGACACAGGAACCTTTCCTATCCCCAGTTCCTACTTCACAGATTCAACTAAACTTGCACTGAAAATATTACCCCCTTCAAAACCTCACAATAAAAACTACTGTAGTTGAGAGCAGTATATTCCCAACATTCCGGAGGCTGAGGCAGGAGGATTGCAGGTTTGAGCTCAGCCTGGGCAACTTAGTGACTGTGAGAAAGAGCCCGTCTCCATGAAAACAGAGAAGCAGGCTGGCGTGGTGGCGCCCGCCTGTAGTCCTGGTACTCAGGAGGCTGAGGCCAGGGGATCCCTGCGAGTTTGAGGTCAGCCTGGGCCACATAATGAGCCTGAAGGTAGCCTGAAGGGTACACAGGGACTCTGTCTCAGCAAAATAGGACAAAACAAAAATCAAAGGGCTGAGGATGTAGCTCAGTGAGAGAGAGCTTGTCTAGCATGCACAGGGCCTGGGGGTCCATGTATTGAACCAGAATATATGGGAATATACGAATATATGAGATATATTGAACCAGAATATAACAGATTAAAAGCAATACAGCATAGCAAGTATTTCCAAAGCACTTGGTGTTTTAAGTGTTCGAGAGATGATTTACAGTACACGAGAGGCTGTGTGTGGGCCACATGCAATCATGATAGCATTTTAGGAGGGGATCTGAACATTGGTAGGATTCTGGAATCCAAGGGCCCATCCTCCTGGTGTCAGGGCCGATGGTTCTGGACACCTGCTACCTGTGGGACTCTGAGCTAAGGCCTCCATGTGGCCTGCTCCTTCCCCTGTCCTCAGAGCAGCCCAGCTGGGGACGCTGTCATCCTCCGAATTCATGAATCAGAGGCCTGAGGCCAGAGAGAGGGCGTGGATGCAGCGGTCTGGCTGCAGAATCTGGGCTCCTTCACCTCTCCAGCTCCCCTGAGGGACGAGAGAGAGAGAGAAAGAGAGAGAGAGAGAGAGAGAGTGAGAGAGAGAGAGAGAAGAGAGAGAGAGAAAGAGAGAGACAGAGAGACAGAGAGACAGAGACACAAGGCATTGTCTCCCTGTTTGTTGCAGTCCAGTAACGAAAGAGGTGGAGTAAGGATTTGAACCCAGAACTTCACATCCCCAGCCCAGCAGTTCACTCTGCAGGAAGGGAAGGTAGGGCTCTGGCTGGGAGGGGGCCGCTTGGCCACTGCTCCTACCCTGCCTGGGCATCAGCTTCCTCCATGTTGCTTGGGACAGTACCAGGCCGACCTCCATGGAGTGCCCGACATGGGTCAGGTCCAGAACCAGCACCTGGCTGGCTGTTTACTCACAGCATCTGCTGCAACCCCAGGACCTCCCTCCCCGACAGAGAACACCGTGAGCCCATAACTCACTGCCTTCCAGCGGGTGCCAGCTCACCCCAGCCCCTCCTGTGAGTCACAGCGCAGGGGAACGGGGCTGCAGGTGTGGGGTAGTGCGTGTGAAGGCACCAGTGCCCCTCGGGGCGTGCCCCAGATTGCCAGGCACCGGGCCTCTGCAAGCGCTGTTCCTTCTGGCCCGACTGCCCTTCCCTGGTTTGCCTCCTCCTTACCTGTTGACGCCTGTGGGCAGAGCTGAGAGTTTCCTCCGATTATGGTGCAAATGAGCTGATCAAAGCGGTGGGAGAGGGAAAGGCTGCTTTCTCAGGGCAGATTCATGTGGGTGCCACAGTTGGGCACAGATTGGGCAGAGAGCTGTGCTGGTGGCGGGAAGGGGCACAGACACAGGGCACCAAGACCTTTGTAACTGCACGGCACTTGCAGTGGTACCTGGACAAACCTGTCTGGTCATCTGACTAACGCAGTAACAGGAGGACCTGGGGGAGAGCCAGGGTTCAGAAAACTCAGACGCTAACCCTGGAAATTCGCACACCCTGCCTGGGGCTGAGTGCCACCTCTGCTCCGACCAGTGTCACACAGCCTTTCCCCAGGCACAGTCCCGATTGTCTCCACTGTAGCTTGGGCCTGGGATTTGAACTGGGTCTGGGTGACCCCATGGCCACATCGGGCTGGCGGCTGGAGAAGGCACGCAAGCCCTGGGGTGACTCAGAGCTAGAGGCCCGCCCTTTCCCGATGACTCAGCCCGGATGGGTCCCTGGGCCTTTTTCTGGAATCCCGGGCCCCAGGCAGCCTGCCCAGGCAGCCACCTCCGCCACACCCTCCTGGAAGAAGGTAGTGGCTCCTGCCATGGCTGCCTCTGTGGGGTGTCTGTCTGTGGTCCGGCACTGTGTCCTCCCTGATCTCTGCTCCCACCACTCTGTCCTAGAATAGGTCCTGTTAGGGTGACCTGTGTGTGGAGGGCATTTGGGGACCCTGGGTGGGAGGTGCAGAAGGGACACAAGGCACCGAATGAACTCAGGCGAGGATGTGTATGTAGCAGCTGCCGGCCCTCAGGCTATGCCCAGTGCGGGTGTGTGTCACCCTCCTGCTGACCAGCATCTGTGTGCCAGCCTCTGCGCTGGCATCCATAAGGCCCAGGCCCTGCTCGGGGTGAGGAGACGGTCATACAGGGTGAGACGAGGGGCCAGTGGGGGAGAGGCCAGGCTCACCACAGACCCCCCCACAGTGGGTGTTACAGTCAGGAGTTGCAGGGCCCGAGATTTAGCTCAGCGGCTCAAGGGCTTGCCTGGTCCTTGCTTGGTAATTGTGAGGTTCTCGATCCCTGGTACCGAAAACAAAATAAAACCACCACCACAACAAAAAGAAAGCAATCAGGGGTTGCAGAGAGGAAGGGGGAAGGTGCAGGGCCAGGGGACTGATCCCCTGAAAGTATTATAGCTAAGTAAGCTAGAAATTAGTAGGGGGCCCTCAAGGGAGTCAGGACAAAAGATGAGCCGTCAAAGCTGTGCCTAGAGGCAAATCTAAAGAGAGCCAGGCACAATGGCCAGGCCTGCCGGGTTTCCTCAAAATAAACAGCAGCTTGAGATCTGTAATCAGCCCCTAGATAGGCATCAGACACCTGGCTGGAATGCCAAACACGGGACCCATAGGCCCACCCTTTTCCAAAAGTGCCTCTGCTCATTCTCAAATGCCTCTGCCCTGTCTTAGTTACAGATAAGCTAAGGTTACTGCCGATACACCTGGCTGTGCTTGCTTCCCCTTACTACTGGGTCAATATTAGCTAGGTGACTGTATTATCATCCTGCGGAGCCACAGTATTTGACCCACCGCTACCCAGGTTGTACTCACCTTGTGATTTTGCTGTATAAAATGTCCTTGGACAAACAGCCTCAGTGCCACCCACTTTGGGGACCTCTCCTATTTTTTTTTTCACCTGAAGATTATGGTTTAAGACCTCTCCTATTTTTCAAGAACTTTCTTCAGATTTTGCTACTCTTAACCTCCTTTGTCCTCAGACCTGTTCGTTGGTATCCGGAGATGTGAATTTGCACATCTGACATCTACGTGGTTATTTTCCCCACGACGCATCACTGCATGGATTCCCCCGTGTCTCTGGCCCTGCAGCTGTCGTGGAGAGGGCAGTAAGGACATGGTATTGTATTGCTGCTAAGAGTGAGAGCCCGGGGTGACCAGTGAGGCCATGGCTCTGTCCCCCATCTGATGCTTCCCTGGCTTCACATCTGCCGCTAGTCCTGGGAACGTCCCAGCCCTGCCAGCTGACCAAGGACAGCACAGTTCCAGACTAGGACGGCTCAGAACACCGCAGCCCCAGGGGATGCAGGGAGCAGAGTGGCCTGAGGGGTATAAGGAACTCCTCGCCTGCAGGCTTCTTTCCCAAGGAAGGTGACATTTCATTGGAGACCAGAATAGCTCAAAAGACATCTTTCTCTTGAGCTGAGGGCCAAGCATTCCAGACAGAGAGCAGGCTGGAAGAGGCTCAGATGGAAAAGGCTCATGGGTTTCAGGACCATAGTGAGGTCTCTAAGAGTTAGAGCTGTGGGAAGAGCAGGTGGGGCAGCAGCTGGACCGGGGCAGTTTGTAGTTTGTTCCAGTTTGGTGGGAAACCTTCAGTTTGTTTTGTTTTTTATTTTTTGATACAGGGTCTCGCTATGCAGTTCAGGCTGGCCTTGAGTTCACTTTGTAACCCAGGCTGGTCTCAAACTTGTGATGATCCTCCTGCCTCAGCCTCCCAAGTACTGGGATTATAGGAGTTTTTAAATTTGAGAGAAACTTGTTTGGTTTTAAAGATAATTTCTCAGCCAGATGCAGTGGCCTGGATCTGTAGTCACAGTTACTTGGGAGACTGAGGCAGAGGGATGGCTTGAGACCAGGAATTGGGGGGCAGCCCTGGGGTCAATGTATAGAAAGATTCTGTTTTAAAAATTAGGACAACATAGCATGAAGTGGTAGCATATGTCTGTAATCCAATCCCAGCACTCTGGGAGGCTGAGGCAAGAGGATCAAAAGTTTGAGCCCAGTCAGCATGGGCAATTTAGTGACTTAGAGAGACCCTGTTTAAAAAAAAAAGTGTATAGCTGGGCATGGTGGCTCACGCCTGTAATCCCAGCACTCAGGAGGCTGAGGCAAGAGGATCATTGCGAGTTCAAGACCAGCCTGGGCTACACAGTGAGCTCAAGGCCAGCCTGAACTGCACAGCGAGACCCCGTCTCAAAAAAAAAAAAAAAAAAAAAAAAAAAAAGTGTGTGTGTGTGTGTGTGTGTGTGTGTGTGTGTGTGTGTGTGTGTAGCAGCTGGGTTTAATACACAGTACAAGAAAAAGAATCAAAACAATGATAAAAGCTCTCCCAAAATTATTGCCCTGAGGAACACAGCGGCTCTGAGGGTTAGGGTGTGGGTAGGGCCAGAGGCCGGAGACAGGGCCTGGTTTTTGACATGGGGCTGGAGAGAGGACAGACTGGCCTTCCTGTACCCATTTCACAGATGGGTGGACTGCACGTCTGGGCTCACTGCATCCCCACAGGGCGGACGCTCAGTACTGTACAGAAGCTCCAGCTCCAGAGAGAAGGAGTTTGTCCCCGGGGTGTTCCAGTGGGCAGCGCAGGGCTCCAGGGCACTTTCCCTGTGCCTACCCCATTCTCCTTGAAGGTGAGGCAGTGATTACTCACCGAAGCCTTCTGCAGTGGGAAACAGAGGCCCAGGAAGAACACAGCCCCTGGCCGGGATCCTGACGCAGCACCCGAGGCCCCTGGCACACAGTGCGGGCTCCACGCCTCGCCGCTGCAGCCCTGCCTTCTTGGCATGCTGTGGGAGCTGAGCAAGGCAGAGTCCACAGCGGACAACTGTGGAATCGGTGCTCAATTCCACGCATCACCTCGGTGCTGTGGATGCCCCGAAATGGCACGGATAAGAGGCCCTTGTGTCTGTGGTCCCTGCTGCCCATGTCTGGCTCCATGCCCACAGCAGGCAAGTGTGCGTGTGCAAGTGAGTGTACCTGAGAGTGCACCCGTACATGTGTGAGCGTGAGGCCCCCAAGATCTCTGCAGCTGCTCCAGGAGTGCTGGGCACCGGGCTACCCGACCTGCTCAGACCCCGGGGCCCCCACCTGTCTGCCCAACTAGCCGGGACCTGTGGGTTCCTGGGCCTCATCTCTGGACCCAACTCAGGCTTCTGGAAGAGACAATGATTAACCACGGGTTGTTTCACCCTGTTTCCTGGTCCAGTTAAAAATACTCAGTGAGCTGGCTGTTGGTGGGGGAGCACCCAGGCTCACAGATGGGAGGGTGGGAGGGAGCCAGGACTTCGACCTGGGGGAGGAAGGAGGGCGGAAGGAGGGCAGGGCCTGGGCCTCATCCCGCGGCTGCCGCCTCCCTATTTGGATTTGGGCCAGTTCCGGGCCCTTGCTTCCTCCTCTGTGAAAGGGTGGATTTGCACTAGGGCTTCTAAGTTTCTTCTGCATGTAAACAGGTGAAACCAAAACCAACCACAAGTGAACAAATGGCAAATTAAGGGTAGGAAAGGACCCTAAGATTTGTAAGTTTAAACCAGTTTTTACACTGCAGGACTTTTCAGAGCCTTTGTTAGTTGAAAATTTTGTTTCCCTTAGTGAGTCATACACCATGAGGTGATACCTAATTCCGAAGGTATGGATGGGGGTGAGGATTTGGGGACTCACATTTCTTTCTGTGCTCCTTGTAGCCCTCCTCTTCAGAGGGCAGGGCTGGCAAGCTTCAGGTATGGGATGGTATCCTGTGTATCGGAAAAAAAAAAAAACAAAAAACAAAAAACAAAAAAACAAAAAAACAAAGAAAAAAAGAAAGAAAGAACCAGACCTTACGGTGCTGTGTGACCCTAGGGGTGGTGATGGGGGGTGCTGTGTGACCCTAGGGGTGGTGATGGGGGGAGTTTGGAGACAGCAATTCTGAAACGTACCTGACCTAACCACAGATTGTCTCTTGGACCAGCTTAAGGAAAAACACCCTTGAGAAATATGGAACCCCGTGCCATGTCCACCAGGCTTTATCTAAGAAGGAGGGTGGCAGGGGTGTCCTGCAGCACTGCCGCCCCACGCTCCACTGCCCACTCTGGGGCGTCCTGGGCCTAAGGGACAGTGCCAGAGCCGACAATCTGTTTGGCCCATCAGAATTCAGAGGTCACAGACTTGCCCGCGCTAGGGATCTATGGAGCTCACAGCTGACTAGGACCATAGAAGTGTTTGTGCTTGGGGGATTCCGAGGAGACTTTGGAAGGTCTCCCGAGGTCAGAAACTCCACACTTTATGTCATTTCCCGAGAGACGGGGCAGATGGGATTGGGGCCCAGTGTGTGGCATCTGTATGGGGTAGAGTGGCCGTAGGCGGTGTGGGGTGGCAGCTCAGGGTCCCCGCGTGCAGCTGTGACACGCGAGATGTATCAACGTGAGCGTCGCAGGACGCCGCGCAGCCAGCACGGGGTGCACCGTGCGGTGGCGTGCTGTGGGCGTGGGCGGCGGCCGCGCGTGGCCCGGACCAGGTGGCGGAGGGAGCGCGCCTGTCGCATCCCGCCCAGGACGCCGGCAGGTGTGGGCGGGCCATCGGGACCCCGCGCCGCCCGGCCGGCCGCAGAGCCGGCGGGAAACAGGAAGCGGGAGGCGCGGCCGGCGCGGAGGGAGAGGGGCGGGCCGGCGTGCGGGCGGGCCTGCGGGTGGCCGGCCGGACGCGACGCCGGCGCGGGGCGGGATGTGGGGCGGCGGCGGGGCCGGGGACCCCGAGGGCGCCGCCCCCCTGCGCCCGCGGAGCCGCCGCCCGAGCGCGGAGCCCGGAGCCCGGGGCGGACGCGGCGCGCGGGGAGAGTCCGCGGGCGGCGGGGAGCTCGGGCCGGCCGCGCAGCCCGCCCGGACCCGCCGAGCGCTCGCCGCCTCCCCCGCCGACCCCCAGGACGCGGCCATGCCGGGCCCGGCGGAGGCGGGCGGGGCCGAGGAGGAGGCCGGGGCCGGCTCCGGGTCCGAGGCGGAGGAGGACGCGCTGTGGGAGCGGATCGAGCGCGTCCGGCACCGGCTGACGCGCGCCCTGAACCCGGCCAAGCTCACGCCGTATCTGCGCCAGTGCCGGGTCATCGACGAGCAGGACGAGGAGGAGGTGCTGAGCACCTACCGCTTCCCGTGCCGCGTCAACCGCACCGGTGAGCGGCCGGGGCGACCCCGGCGGGCGCGGCGCGGCGCGCGTGGGGTCCGGAGCCGGGAGCCCGGAGCGCGAGGTCACGGCCCCGCCGCCTTGGGCCTCGGCCTCCACGCCGGTGCTGTGGACTGCTGGGGGGGGGTCTCCCACCATCCTGGAACCCCACTCCGCCGACACCCCGTTCGGGCGGCCGTGCCCACAGCGCAGCGGCGTCGGGGTTTGCTGTCTTGGGGCGCTCACCCACTTCCTGGAGAGCAGAGCGTTGGATGTGGTTATGGCGAGGCTTGGGACCTCCTTTTAAAGCTGGTGGCCTTGCCCTTTGCCCTTCTGGGTACCCTTTGCCCCCTCCTAGTGGGGCACAGGCTCCTCGGAAAGTTATTTCCCCCTCAAGTAGCAAGATTCGCCTTGGTTTGACCAGGCTCCCCTCTCCCCGACCGTGCTACAAAGCAGTGAGGGTCTACTGGTGGTGTCCTGGTCGGGACCAGTGGGAGAAGTCTGCTTTGGGTCGTGGAAGGGGGTCCCTTGTGCCAGTGGAAGCACAGATTGCCTTTACCAGCCCAGTGTCTGCCTTGATGGGGTGTGGGGGTATTGGGAGGCTGCCCCAGTGCAGGTGCCTTGCAGGGGTCTGGCTCTCTGGCTGTGGCAGACAGGCTGTCTTCCCTGATGTGTCAGGACAGGCCCCTGTGTGTGTCACTAGCTCAAAAATCCGGGGAACGTGGGCCCTGGAGCACAGTGGGGGAGGGAGCAGCCAGTGGAGGGGGGGCTCGTGACCCCTGAGTGCACCCCCTCTGCAGGGCGCCTGATGGACATCTTGCGCTGCCGCGGGAAGAGGGGCTACGAGGCCTTCCTGGAGGCCCTGGAGTTTTACTACCCGGAACACTACACTCTGCTCACGGGCCGGGAGCCTGCCCAGCGCTGCTCCATGATCCTTGGTGAGTGGGTCCCAGTGGGTCCTGGGCTTCGCAGGCCTGCAGAATCCCTTACCAGTCACGGTCAGGGAGGTACTCCTGCTCCCCCTGTTGAACAAATAGGGAAACAGAGGCACAGACTGAAGCTGTTTGCCCAGGTCCCCACGGTAGGAGAGAGGAGCTGGGATTGTAATGCAATTAGGCCCCTGGATTTACTGGAGTCCTTGTCCCTAGTGCTATTATCAGACGTGGCATGGCCGACATGCACAGGCTTATAGTTTCTTATGCAAAACGTTCAAAGGCTCCTGGTGACTTGAGCAGGAAAAGAGAAAGGCTTCTCTCTTCGCTTTGGTTCTGTCCTGCGGGTGGCACTTCGGCAGGTCCCATTGTGTTCTGCCCTTAAACACCCCCTGGCTGGGCCGTGAGTGCGGCCTGGTGGTTTGCTTCTCCTCGCAGTGACTGGTGTGAGTGGTGTTTCTGCTTTGTCTGCTCCCATTTTAAGTGACCGGGTAATGTCCCTGAGTGAGGGGTGACATGATTCACTCAACCCAGCCTTGCGGGTGGCCATCTAGGTTATTTCCTGCTTGGTAACCTTGTGATGTAGTGTTTGCATCTTTGTACAGTTCTGCTTCTCTGAACTGGGGAGTTTCTGCAGTCGACTTTCTCAAAGAGTGTGTGTATTTTGTTTTATTTTTGGCTGTTAGCTACAGGGTCTTGCCATATAATTCAGGCTGGCCTTGAACTCACGGCAGTTCTCCTGCCTCAGCCTCCTGAACGCCGAGATTTCAGGTGTACACCCTTACGCTGTATATTTTAAATGTTACATCAGGGTACCTCCCAACAGCAATGTGTGAATGCCTGTTTTGCTGTACCCTCAGGAACCCTGGGGATCACTTTTTAAGGGGTAAAAATGTTTTAACATTCTTGTTAGGTTGATAGATAAAAAATAATAGTTTTGTTTTCAGGCTTATACTCAAGTGATGTGGTTCACAGCTTATTCTGTTCTCAACCTGGCACAAATCACTTTTCTGTGCTTCCATCTTTTCTTTTTAAAATGAACCCAATAATAGTAACTACTTAGTAATAGTATCTTAAGGGGTTGTGAATATTAAATACTGCATGTATCCATTACAAAGAATTAAGTCTACAAGTGTTAATAGCTCCTGCTTTTATTACTGTTATTGCTGGTGGAGTGGAGCATATTTTTCTGGGTTAGTCATATTATTTTGGGACTTGCTTACTGATAGCTTGTGTCTATGTTTTTTTAGCTGTTTGTCCTTTTGGTTCGCAGGAGCTCTTTATGTATTATGGCTTTGAGTTGTATGTGGCATTGTGTAACCCCCTCTTTTTTATTTTTGTCTTTTTGAGTCACAGTTTTGCTATGTGGTTCAGGCTGGCCTTGAACTCACTTTGGAGCCCATGCTGGTCTCAAACCTTCTGCAATCCTTCTGCCTCAGCCTCCCAAGTGCTGGGATCATAGATGTGTACCACCCATCCAGCCTCTCCCACGCTTTTGCTTTTCTTTTATCCTAATTCCTATTTCACATTTGGCTATGAGTTTATTTACCGTTTCTTTTCTGATGCCTGGATTTTGTGCCTCTCCCCCAAATTACCCAAAAATATCCCAGAGTTTTCCTCTAGTGGCTTTATGGCTTTTTTGTGCAGCCTGCTCTTCCCTGGGTTTTATCTGCTCCCCCTGGCTATTTGCTGTCCTGTCCCTGCAGATGAAGAGGGGCCCGAGGGCCTGACCCAGTTCCTGATGACGGAGGTGCGGAGGCTGCGGGAAGCTCGAAAGAGCCAGCTGCAGCGGGAGCAGCAGCTGCAGGCGCGGGGCCGGGTGCTGGAGGAGGAGCGGGCAGGGCTGGAGCAGCGGCTGCGGGAGCAGCAGCAGGCCCAGGAGCGCTGCCAGCGGCTGCGGGAGGACTGGGAGGCGGGCAGCCTGGAGCTGCTCCGGCTCAAGGATGAGAACTACATGATCGCCATGCGCCTGGCCCAGCTCAGCGAGGAGAAGAACTCGGCCGTGCTGCGCAGCCGCGACCTGCAGCTGGCGGTGAGCCGTGGGGGGCATGGGCCGGGTGCAGGGGAGAAGGGGTGACCCCTGCAAAGAGCGACGGCTTCCACCTGCTTCTTTAATTGCCCTGTTCCCCACGGAGTTGGGCTATGGTTGTCGGTCTCAGGTGGGGACGATTTTGTCCAATGTCCAAAACGGCTGGGCAAGTCTCAGAACAGTTTTGGTACTCACAATCATGAGGTTGTAGTGGGTGGAGACCAGGGACGCCCCCAAACACCCTGTAATGCTCAGGACCGCCCCTAAGACAGAATTACTGAGCCCCAGAAGTCAGTAGTCTCAGGGTAGAGAAACCTTGGGTTGTGAGGGTTTAGGGAGTTTGAGGCATGGAATTGAGTTGGATGTCAAAACACATGGTTGGAATTGAGGGGACTGAGGTGGGAGGATTCTAAGTCCCAGGCCAGCCAGCGTGGCTTAGTAAATCTCTGTCTCAAAAGATGGAAAGAAGGGCTTGGCTATGTAGCTGAGGGTTCAATCCTCAGCATGGGGTGGGGGGGTCAGAGGAAAAAAAAAATAAGATGGAATTTCAGGTGCCTGCAGGGCCTGTCTGAGTCAGAGCTCAAAACTTGTGTCACGCCAGGCATGGTGGGGTACACACCTCTATTCCCAGAGCTCAGGAATCTGAAGCAGGAGGATTGTTAGGAGTTCAAGGCCAGCCTGGGCTACACAGTGAAGCCCTGCCTCAAACAGCAGAACAGCAAAACAAAGGGAAACAGAACCAAGTAAAAACCAAAGGAAAAGCTATGTCATTGTTAGTTGTCATTCTCAAGTGCCATCGACAGTGTGCCACGCAGGCTACACCTGTCACGTTCCTCTGGTTGTCATGAAGCACAAGCCAGGTTTCTGTTCTAAATGCAGACACTGGGGCTCAGATTGGTGAAGTGACTTGCTCAAGGTCGCCAAGCCAGGAAGCAGCACAGCTTGGGTGTGAACCGGTTGGCCTGGCCCTGGTGCTGGCCTCCTTCCCAGGATTTCCCTGTTGGGCGCAGGAAAATCTCACCTGGCCCTCAGCAGACTGGGAGGCTGGGCCCTCTTGGTGGGGAACCTGAGCGCCACTTTCCTGGCTTATTTCTGGGGCTGAGCATGGTCACACAGTTTTGACTGCAGGGTGTCATCCCAAGGATTATTGCCCAAGGCCGTAACGTGGCTGCTAGCGCGCAGTAGGCTCTTTGCTTGAACACCTTGAGAGCCCACAGTGGGATTCTGGCCTGAGCCTGGGGTTGTGGCTGCAGTGTTGTGGGCCTTGGCCTGGGCCTGTGGACTGTGGTTGGTGCGTATTAGCTATGGGTGAGTGGTGCTGGGGACCCGCGCCTGTGTCCGTGCGTGCCCCGGGGGTTGATGTTTCGGTGAGCAGAGCCCCAGTCAGTGTGTTGAGGCTGCTGCCTTGCATGAGGGTGTAAGTGGCCAGTGTGGAGGTGGGAGATAACAGTGAGGCAGGCCATTGTCTGAGGGTCTGCCTGGTGCCAGGCGCTGGGCAGAGGCTTTTGGAGAGGCTGTGGGCAGGGCTGCGGACCCAAGTCCTGGACCCAGGTCTGTCCCTGTGAGCACCTTGACATGGGCCAGGCTTCCCTTTCAGTGCCTCAGTTTCTTCATTCTCAAAGTGAGAGATCACAGATGAGGATGGTACAGCAGTTATAAGCACCCCGCACTTGTACTGGCATGCAGCCCCATGTTGGGGTCGGTACTTCCGTCACCCCTCGTTCTGGAATGGCAAGTTGAGGCACAGAAATCGAATTCTCTGCTTTGTTCTCTGCATTGCTGAAAGAGATGGGGGAAGCGGGAGGTCTTCTTGTCTTCATACAGAGGGGACCTTGCTATGAAGGTTTCCCCAGAAAGAAAATGCGGCTCCATGGTGGCCACTGGCCCAGGTGGGGCTGGGGAGGCCGAGGCAGCGTGGCTTTGCCTCCTCTTTGGGTGGGGAGGGATTTGGGATGAGTGGGTGTGGCCGGTGACTGGGAGATGTCTTGTGTGTACACAACTGTCAGAGCTGTTGGGCTGAGGGAGGGCTCGGGTGGGAGAAGAGGTGGCCAGAGGGACCCGTGTGTGGCCAGGTGCACCTAGCTAAGCTAACCTGCTTCTGCGGCCACTTTTTGCCAGATGAGCAGGAAGGAGGAATGTGGAGAGATTCAATTAGTAAATAATTTGCTTATATATTTGCCTTTATTTTTGATGCTTTTCTGCCTCAAAATTTAAAAAGAGTTTCGCAGGTGGGTGTTTATAGATCCAGCTGGCTCGGCGCTTGGGTCCCCTCCCCCCACGGACAGGTGTGTGGTGGCTGCGATTTAATACCATGTTTTATAAGGTGCAAATTTAACGAGCTGTTATTTTGAAGCAACATAAACTCAAGGAACAAACGCTGTAATTTTGTGCTAAGTGAGTTTGTACACCCGGATTAAAGGCATCTGCCTTTCCTGCTGTTTGGTGGAGGCTGCCCGATGTCCTCTCCTCTGAGCTCCTTGGGAGCCCAGCTGGCCGCGGGTCAGCGGGAGGCCGTGGTGTGTGGCTGCGGTTGGCTGTGAAGGGCGTGACCACGCCTGCCCTTGAGAGGAGCTGTCTTTCTCCGGCGGCCGTCACAAAGCGCGTTTTGTGAGTGGAAAGGAATGCCAGAGTCAGGGATTTCTTTCTGAGTCTTTGCGGAGGAGGAGTGCGCAGTTCATTTGTGAAATTGCCAGACGCAGTGTTCAGGCTCCTATGTGCACACATGTGCACGCATATGCATGTGTGTGCGTGTGCATGTGTGGTGCCACGTGGCTCTGAGCCCCTGGGAACCAGTGTGTCATTTTCCAGGACAGGAAACACAGTCTTTGGGCGCCAGATGCTGGCATGGCCTCAGGGCAGCCCTGGAGATCCCTGTGACCTTTCTCCAACAGTGACTTCATTCTCCAGGCTGCCACCTGTGCCTTTCCTTATCACGATCCAGACCCTGGAGGAGTCTAGAAAACGACCCTGGCCAAGCGTGCGTGTAAGCCAGCAAACTGGCACGCATGTCTGTTCTTGCCTGGTGTTTGTCACCCGGGGGCCAGTGCCCAGCCTGGGCCAGCCCTGGCTACACACAGTGGACTGGTAACTGTTAGGGTCTTGGGGTTTTATTTAAAACAACTGGTTCAGCCACATCACACTTGTAGCAGCTTCACACCCCGTCCTGTCCACTCACTGTCTTGTTGAGTTCCTTCAGTGAAGTTGGGAGGCAGGTGGAAGGGCGGAGAGGATCGATAGGACCCATTTCACTGATGAGGAAACTGAGGTTCGGAGCAGGTAGGCAGCTTGCTCACAATGGCAGTGCCTAAAAGTGGCAAAATTGGAACCAGAGCTCTGGACTTGCAGGTGTTGGTCAGAAGTGGGGGCAGTGCCTAATCCTGGAGTAGAGACCAGTAGGGGCATCTTGGAGGGAAGGACCTGGTCCAATCTGTCCTGAGAGTGTGTGGAGCTGGAGGTGGGGGCAGAGAAGGTGTATTGGGTCCAGGGCTGGGTGACACCCACAGACTCCTCGCTGTCCCTGCCAGCTCTGGGTTCAGATGAGATCAAGGCACAGCCATGACTTGCCCAAGGCCGCCCTGAGTTGAGGGACAGTTGAGCCCAGGCCCTGGTCCCCTCTTCTTAATGCTGCCCCTCTTCCTCTGTCAAATTGATTCTGGGCCGCACGCATATGCATGTGTCAGGACCTTGGGGTGCAGGCTGTGAGATGGACCACCCACAAGGTCCTGTGGGGGGTGACCGTGGCCTTCTTGTCCCCTCTGCCCTTCCCACTATTTTTGTATCTGTCCAGCCCATTCCTTTGTTCACAAGTAATTCCTGGCGGACCCTTGTCAGGCCCCTGTGGGAATCCGGGAGCTACCCAGGAGTGAGGGAACTGGACCCCGCCCCCCCACTCAGTGGGTGACCTTGTGGGTCCCTTCCTGGGCTGACCACGGTCTGGGCCCCAGGTGGATCAGCTCAAGCTCAAGGTCAGCCGGCTGGAGGAGGAGTGTGCACTGCTGCGTAGGGCCCGCGGGCCGCTGCCCGGGGCTGACGAGAAGGAGAGGGAGCCGGACAGCGTGGACCTGGTCTCCGAGCTGCGGGCTGAGAACCAGCGGTTGACGGCATCGCTGCAGGAGCTGCAGGAGGGCCTGCAGCAGGTAGAGGGCCAGCCTGGCGGGGGGAATGAAGGGACCCCTGTTGCTCACTGGCCTCCCCAGGTCTGGAAAGGGGAGGAGTCCGGGCAGAGCCAGGCTCTGAGATCTGGGTGTGTCCAGCCAGTTCCCATGGGAGGCTCTGAATGGACGATCTGTACCCACTGCTCCTCCTGTGGTGGGTTTAATCTGGGGTCTGCACAGCCTCCTGGAGGCCCCTCAACCCCCAAACCATGTGCCTGATCCTGTGTGTTGGCATTTTCCTGGGAAGAGGGCCTCCTAGGTTCCTCGGGTGTGTAGAGGCGTCTCCCCACCATGGAGGTTTAGGCTGCTGAGGTCTGGGCGGGCCAGGGCTGGCTGGTGGCCGGTGGCAAGTTTGTGGCAGTCTGGCCTTGCCTGGCTACACCTAGGTGGGGGCACCCAGGTCTAGTTCCTTGGTGACCCCTCAGAGGAGTGAGAAGGTGCTGGGTAGGGGCCAGAACGAGAGTGGTCCACATTTTTGTTGGGGACGAAGGTCACTGCTGAATTTACCTCCTGTACCCCAGATGTTCCTGAGGCCCATGCCACTCATGGCAAGGGGGAAACTGAGGTCAGGAGAGGTCCGAGTTCTAGGCCAAGTTGGCAGAGCTTGTAGGTCAGGTCCGAGGCCTGAGGGCTAGAGTCTCCCTTCTTCCCCGTACCCAGCATAGGGCCTGGGCCAAGTGCTGAGGTGACCATGAACTCTGACCTGCAGGAGGCGAGCAGGCCGGGGGCCCCAGGCTCTGAGCGCATCCTCCTGGACATCCTGGAGCATGACTGGCGGGAGGCGCAGGACAGCAGGCAGGAGCTGTGCCAGAAGCTGCATGCCGTGCAGGGGGAGCTTCAGTGGGCTGAGGAGCTGCGGGACAAGGTAGTGTCCAGCACCCCACCTCCCCTGCTGCCCGCTTTGGCGCCAGCACCCATCTCCTGGGGGAGAAAGTGTCAGGCCTCACGCGTCCCTTTCAGTGGGCTGCCCTGCATCTCTGCAGGCCTCGTGCTGAGACCATTTGTCCGCAGATACTGACGGGCTCTGCTAGGCCCCTGAGAGTTACCAGTGAGCAGAGCAGAGCTTCTGCTCCTGCGGAGCTGCTTCTAGCAGGAGACTGGCGCTGGGTACCTGCGCGACCCTCTGGGAGTTATTTTAGACAGCAGAAGACAGTGCTGTGCATGGAGCTGAGATGTCCCAGATTCAGCAGGGCCACCAAGGCTGGCCTGGGCTGGGGGGACATCACTGCTCTTGTTCTGCAGTTTGCAGGTTAGGCAGTGAGATGAGGCAGTGGCCTGGGCCATCCTGAAGGGGAGGTGGGTGCTTGTGGCTGGGGCTCAGGCCCTGCTCTGGGGACTGCTGGGCAGCAGGTGCCGGCTTCCCTCGTGCTGGTCTGTGGTCTGAGCGTGCCACCCTCCCCGCCTCGCAGTACCTACAGGAGATGGAGGACCTGCGTCTTAAGCACCGCACGCTGCAGAAGGACTGTGACCTGTATAAGCACCGCATGGCCACCGTCCTGGCCCAGCTGGAGGAGATCGAGAAAGAGCGGGACCAGGTGAGCCCCACCTGCTGTGCCCTGGCCTCGGTCCCCCTGTTGGATCTAGTCCGGGGGAAGAGGAGAAGTGGGTATATAGAAAGAGACTTCTGTAGTACACTGCCTGGTTTAGGATGGGGCAGCAGGGGAGGGCCACAGGGACAAGTGTCTTTGGATGCACTTGAACAAACCCAGAACTTGCTAGACTATCAGACCTGGGCCTCAGACACTAGCTAGTCTAGTCTGATACGGGCCTCAAAGTGGACACCACCCTGCTCCTCAAATCGTATCATGGCACAGGACCAAGAGAGGCCGGGTCACATAGCCAGCAGTGCTGGAGCCAGGTCTGCAGGCCTTTGTGAATCAGACACTGGTCCTGAGATGCAGCCTTGTGCCCACACCTTACCCACACTCCTGTGACAGTTACAGATGCTAGGTCTAGTGTCCTGCATTTTCTTGTCTCTCATTCTCTCCGAATCAGGGACAAGGCCAACACAGAGGAGGTGCCTGCAGATATTTGCTGATGAAGAAATTCTCAAAAGCCTTGGCTCTGGTCCCTGGGGATTGTAGCCTTTGCCTCCTGCGGAGGCCGTGGGGTGGGCTGTGGCATGGGCTGTGGCGCCCAGAGCAGTTCCTCTGAGCCCTGCCTGCCTCGTACAAGGGGAGGACGGAAGGGTTTGTCCCTGTCCACATTGAGTCCCATGAGAGGTGTTGAAGGTTGCATTTGAGGATGGTCCTCAGTCTCAGGGGCAGGGGCTTGCGGGTGCAGATTTGGGGGTTCATCCTTGGATTTTCTAACTCCGATGGTTGGGGCAAGGCCTAGGAGTGTGCATGTCACCAGGCCACTTCCATTCCCAGGGCCTCCGTGTATGGAAAAGTACTTAGGGTGCAAAGGGCTGGGTTTAAACTCTGTGCGCTGCACTGACTGGGTGCTCTGAACCAAGCCTGAGAGTACAGTAGGTCTCCTGGTCATTCTTGGTGAAATAGTAAGAACCTGACTCTGCAGCTGGACTGGCTAGTTGGAGCTCAGCTGTACCCTGCTGGTGTGGTTTATCCAACTGCAAAAGGAGAGAATGACGATGCTATCTGTAGCTTAGTCTGTTACCACGAAGATGCAAAGAGCTGATACTCGGCGCAGAGCCTGGCGCACAGGAAGGGCTTGGTAGATGGCGGCTGCCGCTCAGACGCTAGGACAGCGGGGCCTGTGCAGCTCCGTCAGCTGCTGCCTCCGCTGCTCCCTGCAGGCCATCCAGAGCCGAGACCGCATCCAGCTGCAGTACTCCCAGAGCCTCATCGAGAAGGACCAGTACCGCAAGCAGGTGCGGGGGCTGGAGGCCGAGCGGGACAAGCTGCTGACCACGCTCACCACGCTGGAGGGCACTAAAGCACTGCTGGAGGCCCAGCTGCAGCGGAGCCAGGGTGGCTCCAGCCTCAAGGTGAGGGGACAGGTCAGGCATTTCGTGGCCTGGGGTTCCAGCAGGTGCTGGCTGTGGATTTGTGAGTAGGCTGGGGACATGTAGGTTTCTGAGATTACACAGACACTGAGGATTGTTTGAAGCCTATTTCTGCACATACTTAGGCAAGTATGTTGGGGTTTTTGTTTTCTTTTGCCTTGTTTTTGGTGTCAGGAATCGAACTCATGACCTTGTGCTTGCCAGGCAGGCGCTGTGTTGCCAGACTCTACCCCTGTTAGCAGGTGTGCTGGAATGGAACGCATAGACCTTGGACTAGGAATGGTGGAGGAACGCTGCTCACCTCCTAAGAGCCGGGCGGCTGGGGCCAAGTACTAGTTACAGTCCCCAATCACGTCCTACTACCTCCCCAGGAGTGGGTTTTGCTGCTCTCCTGTGTGTCTCTTAAGCCTATGGTGTTAATAGTCAGGGTTGCCTATCACAGTCCTCATTGTTCAGGACCCAGAGGGGTTAGGGGCCTGCCTGAGGTCCCAGCCAGGTTCCAGACCATCTGTCAGTCAGACGCTGGTCGCTGGGCTGCAGCCAGCTCTGCTTTTTTCTGTCCTGAATTACTTACCTATGAACCTGGGCCTGGCCTGGCAGTGATGTGCTTGGCTTGGAAGGATACAAGACGGAGGCCAGAAACTGACCTCTCGCGTATTAGAAAGTCCTGTGGTTCCTTTGCTCTAAGGAAAAGACAGGTCCTTCCTCCTGCCCAAGAGGACATGCAAGTTGGATGCCTCCTCCCCTGTAGTTTGATTCTTGGGGTCTTAGCGTTTTCATTCTGAATGTGTCACCAGTCTCCCTCAGGGCCTTTGCATGTGCGGTTCATCTCCCTAGATCATGGGCCCAGCTGTACCTACGCAGCATCTAAACATCCTGGAGCTCTCAGTTCAAAGCCTGCTTTCTCTGGAAAGCATTCTGTGCCGAAGGCTGGGTGGGGCTTTTGAGAGCTCACTGTGCCCGGGTACCTGCCTTCTGCCGTCATTGTCCTTGGGGTGATTCTGCTCCTCTGCTGGTTTGCAGTCTGTCTCCCTTGAACTTCTGAGCTCAACACGGACTGGCACCTGCTTGCTGTGTCCTGTGCCTGTCCCGCGGCCAGCCCGGGCTCAGCCTTGCTCCCCCCCTCCCCCGCGGTCTTTCAGGCCTGTACCTCCTCCCATTCCCTGTGCTCCAACTTCAGCAGCACCTGGAGTCTCAGCGACTTCCCCTCCCCGCTGGGAGGCCCAGAAGCAGCCGGGGAAGTGAGGGAAGTGACCATCGCCGGGGGTTCTGAGCCTCACACCTCGGTAAGATGTCTGCCTGCCCCAGTTACGGAGGTGCCCACAACGTTCCTGTGACTGCCAGCATGCAGAGTGTGCCCCAATTCGCCAAGGTTTCCACCTCCCAGGGAGGCCAGGACTTCCTTTATGTCCCCCAGGGCCCCTTGGGCACCGGGAGACCTCCTGGTCCTCTGCTCTGGGCGGGGATGGTGTGGGCTGGGGAGGTGATACAGGGCCTGTCCCCGTGTTGCAGGAGGAGGCCACCGACAGCGAGAAGGAGATCAACCGCCTGTCCATCCTGCCCTTTCCCCCCAGCGCCGGCTCCATCCTCCGGAGGCAGCGGGAGGAGGACCCCGAGCCCCCTAAGAGGTAAACAGCTGGAGAGAGCATGGCTGGCCCAGGAGTTTGGTGGGAGGCTGGCCCGAGTGCCGAGTCAGGCCCACACGCACAGTCACCTCTTACGTGGCTGGAGCTCTGCAGACTCATGTGTCCTAGGAGGGACCGAGTCAGGGGTAAGACAAGGCAGGGGGACAGAAAGTGCCCAGGGGGAAGGTCACTGGAGGTGACTTGAGGATCTCAGAGATCCTCAGCCCAAGGGGAAGCCTGATGGCCCAGGACCAGGGGACATGGAGAGTGTTTCCAGGGGTCAAGGACCCTGGGCAAGAAGAAGAAACTCAGGCCCCAGGTTCAGGCAGTTGAGAGTGGGGCCAGAAAAGCCAGGCCACCTCCGCTGGTGGCAAGGCTGAGGCCAGGTGTTCTGCCTCTGGGCCTCCACGCGTAGGTAGCAATGGGGCGAGTGAGGGGTGAGGACCCCCGGGGGGTGGTGGCTTCCAGAAGGAGCTGGCTTGCAGGGCAGCCAGCCACGGCAGGACGGGGCAGAGGCCAGACCTAACTTCTTGCCCTGTGACTTTAGGGGAGCTGGGTGGCAGCGTGCCCGGTGCCTAGGCTGTGATTGGGGTCCAGCCTGTGTTTGCTTGGGTGCTGTGGGACTGTTAGTTACCCTGGGGGAGGGAAGGAGAGGGGATAGAGATCTGCTGTGCCTCACCTGCTGTTCCCACCGCCCCCCATCCCCTGTCTCTCCCCAGGTCCTTCAGCAGCATGTCGGACATCACAGGTAATGGCCTGGAACTCCCTGGGGGAGCCCAGCTCAGGCCTGTGTGCATGCTCTGCCCACAGCCTGTGTCCCCTTCGTTGAGGCCGCACTGTGCCCTTGGCCAGGGCCTGCTCGGGAGCGTCCTGGGGTCTTGGTCCAGGCTGCCCAGCCTGAGCCACTCCTGGCCTTTACTCCGGCTCTGGATGCAACATGTGGGGATCCCTCACCCCCATCCACTCTGCTGTCCTCTGGGAAACCAGGTCACCTGAGGGTTCCGCACCCCTCTTCTGTTGGACCCTGGTTGTGCCTGTGTCCCAGACCCCTGACCTTTACTCTTCCTCTTCAGGGAGTGTCACCCTTAAGCCCTGGTCCCCTGGCCTCTCTTCATCGTCCTCCTCTGACAGCGTGTGGCCTTTGGGAAAGCCGGAAGGCCTCCTGGGCCGAGGCCCAGGCCTGGGCCTTCTGAACAGGTAACAGCCCCTGTGCTGGGTGGGGCTGGAGCTGGCTTTAAGCCTGAGACTGAGAGGGCCGGGGGTGCATCTGCTTTAAGCAAGTGCAACATATTTAGGCCTTTAGACTCTGGCGGTGGATTCAAACCCTGGTACACTTTTTATCCTTTGTCTGGCTTGAGCTGGTCACCTCTCTGCTGGCCTTAGTGTCCTCCCTGGTCCGAGGGAGACAGTGCTCTGTCTGCATGGGGCTGTTCTGAGTTTCTGACTCAGAGTCTGTCCCTGCAGGTGTGTAGTAGCTGTTTAGTAAGTGATACTGGTTACTTCCGGCTGCTCTTGTCCCAGCTGCTCGTGTGCTGTGGGTGGGCCCTGTCCGTGCCTGCAGTGGGTGGGAGGAGGGTGGGAGGACGGCAGGCCGTGCCGAGAACATGACCTTTGTTTGAGCTCATCTGGGGCCAGGTGAGCGGCTGCAGGGAGAGCCGGGGCAGGCAGGTGGAAGGGGGTGCCTGAGTCAGGCTGGGAATGCGTGGATTTTGGCTCTCGCTGTCTGGGAAGCCGGGATGGGTTTGGTTATTATTAATTGCCAGGCCTGCTGCTGATTGCTTTACAGCGTTCCCTGTCCAGGGAGGAGGTGTTATCACAAGAGAGGCTCAGAGAGGTTTGGGAACTTTCTCACAGTCACACGGCTGAGAAGTGCCAGGGGTAGGGCCATTGCGACCTGATCAGATTTGAGAGCATCTATAGGCCACTCTGGAATGTGGGTCGGATTTCACGACATGTTAGGGCAGGCAAAGCGGACTGTGGGCTCCGGCCTCCTGGAGGTCGCTTTCCAGGCTGGTGTCCAGGCCCTGCCCCCACCCACCCTCCGTGACATTGTTTTTGCCTGCACAGGACACAGGACTGGCTTCTGGGGAAGGGGGTGGAGGCGCCTCCCTTCCTGCCCGCCTCAGCCCTTCCTGGCTTCCTCCAGGCCGGCCACAGCAGGGGCCCTGGCAGCAGGCCAGGGGGCGCCAGGATGCGGCCCAGGGAGCCTGCTCTTGCCTAGTCCGTGAGCAAGTGGGGCCACCTCTGCTGACCCCCATCCCTGGGGAGGAGGGAGTTGGGGGAAAAGCACAGAATGGGGTGGCACAGAGGGAAAGGGGGCCAGCAGGGAGGGAGGTGAGCCTGAAGCTGCCCCGCTGAGTCACGGTGTCCTGGGAAGGGTGGGTTTTGGAGCCGGCTTCTCCGGCTCACAGCAGTGTCTGCTGCAGGCTGCGGGCGGGCAGGTCCCTGGGTTTTCCCGAGCTTCAGTCTTCTGCTCTGTGTGGTTTGTCCTTTCCTTTCCCTTTTTCCCCGCTATGCCATCCCCTCCTGTCCCCTCCCTTCCTCTCCTCTCCTTTGCTCTTTTTGGTACAGGGATTGACCCCATGGCCTTTGCACTGAGCTACAGTTTCTGCCCTTTTTAAAAAAATCATTATTATTTTGAGACAGGATCTTGCTAAGTCCATAAATTGCAGTCACGCTGCCTCAGCCTCCTGGAGTGCTGGGATTACAGGTGTGCGCCATCACACCCCGCTCCGTCAGAGCTACTCACACATACGTAGAGTGCCCATTCCCTGCTGGGCACTGCGATGGACACTTCCTTGCCTCCTCATGGCCTGGTGTTTCTTCCTCGAAGTCTGTCTGCCACCTGGGCATCCCTTGCTCTCCTTTCTGCCAGGGAACTGGGTAGGGAGAGGGGGATGGGCAGCGGGGTCCTCGGGAGGATGCATGATGGAGTGTCCATAGCCAGACAGAGCCAGCTGGGGAGGCCACAGGAAGAGCCCAAGTGAAGTGGGGTGCTGGGTGGGGCGGGGCGGGCAGGGTGTATTTGTGAGAAGTTGGGGTGCCATCTCCCCACAAGCTGTTCAGACTTGCTTGTGTTGTCTTAGAATCTCTAAGACCTGTTGGGTCATGGCCTGTTAACTTCCCCGTGCCTCACTGTCCCTTATCTTTAATGCCGGCTAAACATGGTCACCTCCCGCAGGGCTGGTGGGAGGATTACGTTTGGTCATTTGTGTGGCACAGCTAAGTCTCAGTGTCCTTGACCCCTAGCCACAGATGCTACCTGGATCTTCCCGGAGTGCCCAAAGAGCCCAGTGCTGCTCGGCCTCTCAGTGCCCTGAGCTCCTGGCCGGCCTGGGAGGCCTCCTTCATGGCTGAGCCCTGTCCTTCCACAGGCAAGGTTGGGTCCCTCACAGGTCAGTCTAAGAGGCCTGGGCAGGCAGCACCCCATGTCACTGTCCCCCCAACCCCTGCTCATCAGTGGCTGGGGCTGGGATAGGTCTGAACCAGCTCAGCGAACCCAGAGGACTCTGGGAAACAGGATACCGCTCCAGGGAAGCTCAGAAAAGTCATTTGGTTCTTTTGTGACCTGGGGAGGCTGGCAAGGGGGTCCTGGAGGAGGGGGTGCCCTAGCTGGTCTTCAGGGAGCAGCAGGCGAGGGTAGGAAGAGACTGGGGAGCTAAGGGTCATCTCCGTGCTGGAACTGCAGGGGTAGATTGGGCAGGAGGCTCCCTAGGGCCTGGGGCCAGTTGCTTGCAGGCTGTGAGGGTCTGTGGTCTGTGGATTTGAGACAGGTGGGGAAACTGAGGCCAGACTGTGGTGTTTTGGCCTGAGTCACACCTGATAATAATAAAAGTCTTGCTTTTTTTGTGTGTGTGCTTGGTGGTTGCTGGGCCCTGTGCCAAGAGCGTCTCCTGTTTTAATGACACTGAGTGTTAGCGGATGCGAGGCTAGGCTATGTGGGCCGGAGTTCCTGCTGGTGCCCTCTGACCCTGTCCTAACTTTCTCTGCCCACACCCACAGGGAGAAAGCTAGGATGCAACCTGCAACAAAGCCAGAGACAATAGCGGGGTTTACCTGGCAGGAGGCAGGGTTGTGTTTTCTGTTCCATTAAAAACACAGTTAAATTTATCAGCAACAGATGGGGAGGCAAGAAACAAACAAACAAACAAAAATAAAGCTAATCAGGACCTTGCAAATTTCACAGCCCTCTGAGGGCAGACTCCAGCGCTTGTTGGTCCTATAGAGGTTGCTACAGAGGTGGTGGTTGGTGACTTTTCTGTTTTTTTTTTTTTTTTTTTTTTTGCCTCCATACTGGGCTGAAGGCAGAATCTTCACTCTGAGCCACATCCCCAGCTGTTAGGAGCCTGGGTGACCTTGAACTAACTCTTCCTTCACCATGCTAAATCGCCCAGGCTGACCTTGAACTAACTCTTCCTGCCTGAGCCTCTAGAGCAGGTGGGATGACAGGCATGGGTTGTCACGTTCAGCTCGCACCCTAGTTTCATGGATGTGGGCACGGACTCAGGCAGCCAGCTCCTTTGCCTACATCCTGGGCACGGTGTCCCAGGAGTTTGGAGCTGGACTGTGCTGTGCCAGCCACCGGCCAGCTGAGTTTCAGGCTCACCAGTTATGCCAGGCCCTTTCCACGCCCCCTCTGTATAGCCAGGACAATGGGTTGTCAGCTCCCACACTAAGGCCTGGCCCCTGGGGTCACAGGTTCCCGCACCCAGAGGTGCCCACTGGGACGTCATTGTACCCAGCAGGTGGCAGTGTGGTTAGATCTGCACTGCGGCTGCTGGGGTGAGGGGAGCTGCCCGGGACACCTCTCGTGGGTTTCACACAGACTGGAGCCTCACTTTATATCTGAGCCAGAGGACCTCATTAGCTCAGGTTCAGGGACAGGCTTTCTCAGTGACTCTGTCTTAATCATCAGTGCCTGCACGGGCTGGCTACGCCCAGCCCTTTCTGTGGGTGCTTTCCCTGGTTGTTAAATTAGTAATCAGGGCAAGGAGCTGAGCACGCTGCCTGGCACACGGGTGATCCCGGTGAGCACTGCTGCTGTAGTCATTGTGATGCTGGGTACATGTCCTGTGCGCTGTCATCCACACCGAGCTCCCCCGCACCCTTACCCCGATCTCAGTGGCAGCCAGGATCGTCTGCCCTGTGTTGTGTTCTGACAGCACCTCCCTCCCGGACTTCCACGTGATTGGTGTGGATTAGCCTTTGCTTCGAGCCAGTGGGTTTGGTGCTGGGTTTGGAGTTGGGGACGCAGTCACCAGGAATCCCGTACTGAATGCATTTGGGGGGGGGGCAAAAGGGGAAACTTAAATGGGCAAGCTGTGGCTGGGGAGGGTCCTCATGGTGGGTCCAGCATCTGACAAGTTGACTTGAGCTTTAAAGAAGGGGCAGCATTCAGGCAGAGCAGAGGAGGGGGCGTTCCAGGCCCAGGGCCCCCACAGCTGCAGTGGCCTGAGGCGTGCCTAGGGAGCGGAACCACTGCGTCAAAGCAAATTCCCACTCTCTTTCCTCAGGTCTCTGGCTTTCCGAATGTCTGGCTGGAGCCCCTCAGGTGGCCAAGAGTCTCAGGACAAGGGCCCAGATGGCCTGCCCTTCGGTGGTGACAGATGGCCTGGGGCCGTGGTGCGGAGGGTGCTGTCTGGCCCTGGGTCAGCCAGGACTGAACCATGTGAGGTGAGGCCCCATCTCCCGAGCTGGGAGTGGAGTCCTGGTTTAACCAGAGTTGGATGCTGATTGGTAGAGCAAGGTCACTGGGCGGGGCTTTGGGGCGTGGCTAAAGTAGAAGCAGACATCATGATTGGCTTGCTACTGGTTGCCCCACCTCAGCTAGTTTTAAATAAAATCTGATTGGATAAGGGCTAAGAGATAGGGCAGACTGACAGCACTTTGACAGTGTAGCCTTTAAAGTAGCTTCTTTAACTACCTCCTGGGTTACCTCCCAGCCCAGGGCAGAAGGTGCTGGCCTGGAGGGGGCCGGCCTGGAGGCCGAGACCCAGCAGAGATCCTTGGTGTGCACACTACCCTCACGGCTGGACTCAAAGGGTAAGCCTGGCCTCGGGGAGGGCCTGGGAGCTTCTGAGTCCTAGAGAGTCAGCGCTGGTGGTCCCAGGGGAGAACTCTTCCAGCCTAGGGTGCAGCTGGGAGGGACAGCAAGGAGATGCCGCCCTCTGTCTTAGGCTTCCCACGACTGCAGGTCTCTTTTCTCATGGCCTTTCTCTTTGAGCTTCCCGTGACAGGAACACTGTGTTAAAAGTCCACAGATCTGGGCTCGAGTGCTGGCTCTGTCGCTAGTGGGTTCGCTGGTTTTAGGGAATCCCCATCCCTGAGAACCTAAGTCCCTGAAAGAAGGAAGGAGGGGTCCTGGCGGCTGGGCCTCCAGAGGGCAATCACTGTGGCCCCTGAGACACTCCCCCAGCCTCATGCCGCCTCTCTTGTCCCCGGATGCTCCCTGCCCTGTGCATGCCCAGCCTGCCAGTCCTTCCACGAGGCCCTCGATGCCTGGGCGAAGAGACCGGGATCTGAGCCCTTTTACATTCGAGCCAACCTCACCCTGGCTGAGCGGGCGGATCCCCATGCCCTCTCTGTGAAAGCTCAGGAGATCCTGCGGCTGGTGGACCCGGCCTACAAGCGGCGGCAGGAATGGTTCTGCACCCGGGTCGACCCCCTCACGCTGCGGGACCTGGACCGGGGCACAGTGCCCAATTATCAGAGGTGAGGGGGAGCTGGGAGCCTGGGGATGGGGCCCTATGGGGAGCTGGGTTGGAGTGGGGGTGCTCTTTTCCTCCTGTAATCCCCCACTGTCCTCTGGGGCAGGATGGGGGTTGGAGGAGAAGAGAGAGGGCTTCCTTCGCTCTCCAAGTATGTGACACGACTGCCTCCACAGAGCCCAGCAGCTCCTTGAAGTCCAGGAGAAATGCCAGTCTTCCAGTCGGCACCGGAGCCCCCGCAGTAATGTGAGCAGGGCTTGGTGGGCTGGGAGGGGGCCTAAAGGCTGATGCTGGCACCATTTCCTGCAAACTTGCAGGAGGAGGCGAAGCCTGGCCATACCTGTGCCTTTTCTGGGGTTTTACTAATCATCTACTATGTGCCCAGCAAACAGTGGTTTGGCCTTCTAGGGTGGGTGAGAGATTAGATGAGATAGGTTTTGTCCACCGTCCTGGAGCAGGTCTGGCACATAGTAGGCATCTGATAGCAGTCCTATTCTTTTTCCAGTCCCCAGTGAGGGGTGGGCCGGGTCATCACCCTTCCTCTGAGAGGCCATGCTGCTGGACAGCAGGCTGAGCTTGGGCCTGGAGGAGACGGGCAGGATGGGAGCCCCACTTCTGGTGCTGAGAAGCTAGGTGACTTTGGACAATCACCCAGACCTCTTTCCTGCTGCTCCCTGTCCCATTCTTGGGGCGATTTTCTTACCTGCAAAGTAGGGTGGTTACTCCGCCTTACCTCCTAGCAGTGCGTAGCTGCAGAGGGTCCATGCACATTCAAGGCCAGTGCTGTCCCCTGCCGGCTTCCGTATCTGGCAGGTTGGGGGTAATTAACTGCTTTTATAGTGGATTCATTTATCTTCCGACCTGTGACTTTATGTTGAAGACTACCCAGAATTGGTGACAAAAGGCTCCTTTTGGTATCTGGTCTCAGTTTCCCCACCTCTAAGGTGGGGTGCCTATAAAGTTCCTCTAAGTGGCTCTGCTGGGCTCATTTACATGTGCCACCCTCCGCAGCCAGGGGACACTCGCCTGAGCCTGGACAGTGGGACAGCGGGTGCTGCCTTGGCCCCGTTTCTTTTCCTCTCTTCCTAAAGTGGGGGTGGTGTGTGCGCTCAGGTGACCTCTTTCCCTCTTTCCCTCCCCAGCTGAAGAAGCGAGCGCTGGGGCTGGTGAGGCCCAAGCCTGTGGGAGGCCCTGCAGGGGACCCCTCGGAGCAGCTGCTGCCAGAGCCCTGCTCAGGTGAGTGGGTGGGGTGTCCTGGATTGCTTGTGGTACCAGGAATGTGAGCATGGGGGTGTCCTCTGGCCTTGGTGTCCTAGGACTGAGGGTCTCAGCGGGGTGCGGGGCCTGGGGACAAGGCTCCCCCTGCTGGTAGAATGGGCTGCCGTAGGTGAGGGGACCCTGTGAGAAGCTGGCTGATGTGCCCGTGGCTGTGGGCTGCTGGGTGTGGTGGCAGAGATGGTAAGGACCCCAGGGGGATTTCTGGAGGAAGCAGGATGAGGCCATATCAGGGACAGGGTTTGGGGGACCCCAGGGGAGGGCAAAGCAGTTTGCAAGGGCTAGGGGCAGAGGGTGGTTAGGGTGACTTTTTAGAAGAGAGGTGCTTTCCGCTGTGGCCTTTGAGGGTGAAGAGGAGTTTGCTATAGGCAGAAGGCACGGTGCAGGCAGGGCACGGCTGCCCAGGGGCCTTTGGGGACTATGGCACAGCAAGTGTGAATTGAGCACATTTTGGGGCACAGGAGATGCAGTGGTCCCTTTCTCATGTCTCCCGGGGAGGCTTTCACTGCCAGATTAAATCACCCTGTGGCCACAGGAGGCAGGAGATGTGTCATGCAGGAGACCACCAGGTGCCATGGGACACCTGGGGGCCCTGTCCATGTGGGTACCAGGGATGGCGGCCTGGACTCTGATGGGCTGAGGTTTGGGAGGTGTAAGGCGAAGGCTTTGGGCAGCCACGTGGGGTACAGAAGCCCTGTGACTAGAGGCAGTGAGGGCAGAGGTGGGGGTGCTCTGGGGCTCCCACCTCTTGGGGCTCTGGGGCTGTGTCATCCATGTGGAGGTTGTGGCCTTTGGCCTGTGAGCCTGGGAAGCCACTGGCACATTGAAAGCAGGTTTGTGTTTTGCAGCCTTGTGCTGGCCTCTGAGTGCCTGCAGGGTTTAGGGGGTGAGGCAGAGGATGAGAGAAGAGCCCACTGCGATGGTCCAGCAAGGAAGTCAGGGGAGAACTGCAGAAAGTTGGCGGGGGAGTGTGTGTGTGTGTGTGTGTGTGTGTGTGTGTGTGTGTGTGTAGCCAGCAGGACTGCCAATCATGAATTGGCAGTGAGGTAGGTGAGACATTGGTTTGGAACATCAGAGGCCAGAACGGGCCTCACGCTCCCCACATCCCTGCCCTCTGCAGAGCCAGAGCGGAGCCTCAAGCCCTACAGCCTGGTGCGGCCGCTGCTGGTGTCTGCGCTGCGGCCGGTGGTGCTGCTGCCTGAGTGCCTGGCGTCCCGGCTCATCCGCAACCTGCTGGACCTGCCCAGCTCCCGGCTGGACTTCCAAGTGTGCTCAGCAGGTGAGCCTGTACTCCGGGAGGGAGGACCGGGGCCCCGGGGCAGCGAGGCCCTTCGCCCTACAATCCCCTCTCCCTCTTGATCTGCAGAAAGCCTCTCTGGGGAGGAACAGTGCTCGCCCTCGGCCCCTGGAGCCCCCAAGGCCCGACCCACCACCCCTGGGCTGGGCAGCAGGATCCGCACCATCCAGGAGCTGGTTGGGAAGGTAGGTGCTGGGGTGCTGGACCCAGGGGTCCTCAGTTTCCTCCCTCTCCTAGTCACCTTGGAGGTGTTGAGCTGGGGCCTTGGCTTGTGCTTTCTCATCCTTGAGCTTCCTTCTCTCTGTGAGCTCGCAGGGGCTGGAGGGCCACAGGTAGTGAGTGGGTGGTCCCGACCGATGGGGAGGCCCAGGTCCAGAGCAGGGATGTGACCTTTCTCGGGGTCACCCTCCAGGCCAGCTCTCTGCAGTCTCCATCCCAGTCCTTTGCTCCCTGCCGGGGTCTCTGTGGGTGGGGACGTGGAACTTGCACCTGGGCAGATGTGACCGGGGACAGTGGGGTGGGGCCTGGTGTTCTGGACTGAGAGTAAACGTGGCCTTGTGTCCCTGAGAAGAAGCACTGCCTGTTGGAGCTGGGTGTGCGGGGCGTGCGGGAGCTGGTGCAGAACGATGTCTACCCCATCGTTATCCACGTGGAGGTGACTGAGAAGAATATCCGCGAGGTCAGGTAGGTGGGCCGGGCCTGTGGCAGCTGCGCTCTGAGGATGTCTCTGTGCCTCTGTTTGCCATCTGTCTCATTGTCTCCTTTAGTGTCGTCCTCCCTTCTGACCATCTGTCCCCAGCCCTCTGTCTCTGTGTCCTTCTCAGTCCCCTGCTCTGATGCTGCCAACCTCTCTTTGCAGAGGCCTCCTGGGCCGGCCAGGCGCTCGGGACTCGGAGCTGCTTCGGCAGTGCCGCAGCGTGGAGCAGGCACTCTGGGGGCTGCCCTGCTCCTGGGTGCAGGTGCCTGCGCATGCGTGGGGTCACGCGGAGGAGCTGGCCAAGGTGGTGCGTGGCCGCATCCTGCAGGAGCAGGCCCGCCTCGTGTGGGTGGAGCGGGGCAGCAGTGGTGGCAGCGGCAGCTGCAGCGAGGCCTGAGGCCCACCGAGGGTGAGCTTCCGGCGTCCGAAGCCTGGCTTCCTGTGTGCGAGGCCTGGCTTCCTCCATCTGACGCCTGGGTTTCTTCCGTTGGAAACCTGACTTCCTGCGTCTGAGACCTGGCTTCATTGGAAACCTGGTTCCCTCCATCCAGGCCTGGCTTCCTCTCTCACTGCAGAAGCTGCTGGCCAGTAGGACCCTGTGTCTGTGGTCAGCTGGGCCCTCCCATCCTGAGCCATCCTTGAACTTTGGACGCTCTGACGTGGAACCCTTGGCTCTGGGCTCCACCTGTGTTATTCATGCCCTGTCGAGAGGCTGCAGGAGCTCATGGGCCAGAGCATCCACTTACCCCTGTACTTGCTGCTGTGGGCCTTCCTGTTGGTCACCCTGTGTCCCCACATTCCCACTTGAGGGTCTTGCCCGTATGTCTGTGTCTTCTCCTTAAATGTCTACCCTGGGGTCTGGGTTCTCACAGCCTGTGCACGGGTTTGCACACTCAAGTTCTCATGGGGCAGGTGTGGTTCTGCCCTTTCCCGGATCCACAGGGTCTCCCTTGGTCCTTAGCTTCAAGGTGCACTGAGCCTGGCACCTCGGGACCCCTGCCCCCCAAGCAGCTACACATCCGTGTACGCTGCCACCTGTGGCCATCGTGGCTGCCTTGGTCCACTGTTGCCTGTATCCCTCAGGCTTCCTTGTGTGTGTCTGTGGGTCTCTCCTGTGTAAATGTCACACTCACTCCCCGACACTTGGGCACTAACAGGTGTGTGTTCCCCGAGAGCACACCCAGGATCATGTTCTCACAGCTGCCCTGTCCCAAGCCCCCAGGGCCTGGCAGGGCCAGCTGCTCTGTCCCGAATGTACGCCTGTGATTACTGACGGGCCTTTCCCTCAGAAGCTGCACAATATGGAACATTAAACACGTTGTCGTACATGCTGGTGGCCTCTCTTGCCCGCCTCCCTGGCGGGCCCCTCTCCACCCCTCTCTCTGCCCCTACCTTTCTGTCCCCGGTCGTCCATGGGGAGGGTCGGATTTCCCTCCTGACTCATCCCAGAGCCGCCCGCCATCTGTGCTGGCATCACCTTACCTGTCCCCAAAGGACAGGTGGGGGCCCCACAGGTGGGCCACCCAGTGCTCAGCCCTGCCCTCCTTTCCGAGTATGTCCGGTGGAGCAGGCACACGGGCCAGCAGTGCCCAGCACTGAGTGTAGGGGCCCTCGGTTCCACCAAGACGGTTCCCTCAGCGAGCAGTCCAGACGGGCTGACTGGAGGAGGCGCCCTGTGAAGCTGAGGCTGGATGCCCTTCAGGAAGCACTGCCAGGCTTATGTGACTGAATACATGTGGTCCCAGTGATGCACTGGAGTAGGCCCTGCGGGGTCTGAGGGGTGGCAGAAGATGACGGAGTGGGAGGAAGTGAGCTCTGGGGCTGGGAGCTGGCGGCATGGCTGGGGCTGTGCCGTGTGTGTCGAGGGGGCCTCAGTGTCAGGGCAGGGCAGGAGCCCTCTTTGGGGCTGACTCAGTGGGCTGAGGCGGGCAGTACTCGGGCCCCGAGCAGGGTCTGTGAGAGGTGAGGAACTTCTGGGAGGGAGGGGTGAGCTGAGGCTCCATCAGCCAGGGCTGGGCCTCTGTTCCACAGCTGCTGGAAAAGACCCTGGACTCAGCGGGGATCAGGGCTGGGGATTCGGGGACTTGGGGAGCTGGGTGGGGGCTGCAGCCCCATCTTTGTGGGAGGAGGAAGGGGTGCTGGGAGGAGAGTGGTCAAGGGCCTAGGAGATGGGGCTCAGCCAGTCAGGTGGCCCCCAGCAATGGACACACTTCTCTGTTCAGGGCACCTGGTGCCCTGCGCTGGGCCGTGAGGGTGGGGTGCTGGCTGTGAAGTCTGTGGACTGTCCAGTGCTGTTGTGGGAGCCATTGCTTGGGGAGACTCAGAGATGGGCAGGGGCCAGGGAGGGGCCTTGCCTGGGACCTGCGGGTCCCCCAGCCACTGTGACAGGTGACAAGGCGCTCCCCTGGAGGCAGTTTGTGTCCCTTGCTACTCCAGGTCTGCAATGGAGGTTCTCTGTCCTCTGCATCGCCCAGCTGTGGGATGGTGGGGTCTTGCATTGCGTCAGCCTCGGTGCTAGCTGCTTCTGGTCTCTGTCCTGGCCAAGACGCCTTCTCCAGGAAGCCTGCCGGATGCTTCCAGCCCTCAGGACTTTGCTTGGGCTTAGCCCTTGTCTGCCCTGTGCTAGGATGGGGTCACCATGCCCTGCTCAGTGCTTGGCCTGTGCACATCTGCATCTGGGAGAGGCTGTGGCCAGCTGTTCATCTGCCTTTGGCCACATCTGTCCTAGGTGTTCTGTGAGGTGCCAGAAACCCTCAGTCACCTCCAAGCCAAGCTTTGGTTCCTAATTTATAAATAATGCCTGGGAGTGGCCGGGTTGGGATTTGAACCCAGGACCAAGTGTGGGATGTCTCTCAGTAATGCTGCTCTGAGAAGACCTGCTGTGAAGGGGCCTGGCTGGGTGCTGCCCTATAGGAATGTGGCTTAAAAGGTTTCTCATTTCCATCCTCTCATTGTCCTAACACAGGGCTGGGCCATCACAGGCCAGTCCCATTCCCCAGCCATCTGGCACCCTCTTGAATTTAGCAGTTATTTCCTGAGCTCCTAGTATGTGCCAAGCACTGTTCTAGGCACTGGGGCCAGGGATTCCATGATTAAAGCAGAAGAAATCTGTGCCCTGATAGTCTCTTGAGGCAGACAGATAATAAACAAAATATATAGGGTATCGGGAGATGGAAATCTTATGGAGAAAGCAGCAGGGAAGGGGGCACAGCAGGACAGGCCTGGGGGTGAGGAGCTGGGAAGGAGGGCAGAGAAGCTGTAACTTAAAGTGATCAGGGAAGGCCTCCTGGGGGAGGTGACATTCGAGTAAATAATGGAAGAAGTAAGCAAGCGGGACATGCAGATCTCTCGGGGAAAGTGTTCACAAGTAGCAGGTGCAGAGGTCCTGAGGTCAGTGAGTGCTTGCCCAGTTATGGGCTGAGCCAGCCTGTCAAGGGAGCAGAGGAAGGTCATAAGATGGGAGCCGGTGCCAAGCTAGAGCGGGGGAGGGAAGGGGAGGTGAGTGACTTCTGCAGAACAAGATGGAGGTGAGCTGGGGAAGGCCCTCGGTCGGTCCTCTGTCTTGGCTGGGCCACAGCAGTAGCCGCAGTTACTGCCAAGTGACAAGGCGCTGGGGGTCTCCCATGGGCCAGATGGGGACCAGACAACAAGCTTCCCCTGCTTCTATGCCTGAGCTGCTGGCTCCTAGTGCAGGATTCTGGGCCTCCGGGCCCGATGGCCTGGGCTGTAAACTGGACACTATGGCCTGGGCTATAAACTGGACACGACCATCCCAGGGCTAGAGAAGACGAGGAGCTGCGCGAACTTCTGTTTAGCGGAGACGGAGAGCGCACGCAGGAGACCCTGGCGAAGGTGGAGAGGCTGCGGTGGGGAGGCTGGAGAGGAGCCTGGGTTTGCGCGGTCTGTGGGCGCTGAGGCCAAGCCGGGATGTTCCTCCTCTGAGCCTCGGTTCCAGCCACCTCTGGGCCCCGCCCACCGGCCCCGCCCACTGGCCCAGGCTGCGGCGGGGGCGGGGCTGGGCGGGGCGGGGCGGGGGTGGGGCTGCGGCTGCGGAGCAGGTGGAGGGCGGCCCTGGTGGCTCCGCGCCGCGTCCCCGCCACTCGCGCCAGCCCCGGATGCCCGCCTGCCCGCACCTGTGCCCGGGCCCCCGACCGTCCAGCCTGCCTTCCTGGACTGGCCGGGACGCGGGGTCCGAGCTCTCCGGGGGCCCCAGTGCCAATGCCCTGCCGGCTGCCCCGGGGCCCGGCTGCCGCGCTGCTCGCCCTCCTGGGCTTGGGGCTCCTGTCCCTGCGCTTCCACTCCAGCCTGACTGCCCGGGGCGCGCAGGAGCACTCCGGGCTGAGCGCTCCGAGTCCCCAGCCCCGGGAGCTGCAACTTCGGGACGTCTTCATCGCCATCAAGAGCACTCGGGCTTTCCACCGCCCGCGTCTGGACCTGCTACTCGACACGTGGGTCTCTAGGGCCAAGCACCAGGTGACAAGCGCGCGACTTTTGGTTCTCGGAGTGGTCCCTGGCTGAAGGGCTCACAAAACTCTTCTGCTGGACTGGGTCCCCGAAAGCCTAGAGGCCCAAGCTGCCCACTGCCCTCGGCTTGGCTCATGTCTCTCCTCCTCCCTTGCCCGCACGCACCCACACTCGCTGGATTCCGGGTGCCCCTCTGTTGTGGGCGGCTGAGGTCGTCCTTCCCTTCCCAGGCTGCTCTAGCTGGGGCTTTGCTCCTGCCCGGCTCAGCTCAGCCTGACCTTTGGGGACAGCGGTGGGCTTGGGTAGCTGGGGTAGAGGCCTCCGAGAGGTCCTGATGGTGACTGTGTTGTCCCACTCTGGTCCACGAGCCATCGGGCTCTGGTGCTGAGTGGTGAAGCCCTTGCCCTGCACTGCTGCCGCCCGGCTGGTGTGTGTGTGTGCCTGGAGGTGTGTGCCTGAGTGGGGACCTGTATGGAGAGTGGGTCTGTGTGTGTGCACTCACGCATGCGCACATCTACATGCTCACAAGCATGGAGCCAGAGAGTGTGAGACGTGCAATGGCAAGAGGTGTGTGGGTGGCATGGGCAGGTGGCTCATGCCTTGAGGGGAGGTGGCTGTGCCAGACTGAATCTCCTTCAGTGCCCCCCCCCCCATCGCACCCAGTACCCTCCTCAAGTGAAGCTTTGGATGTGGGATATTAGGGAGCCTCTGTGGGAAGGTGGAGGGTGGACACACATGCACACGCACAGGCACAGGCACAGGCACACTGCTGGCTCTGGGGAGGAAGTGACTGAGCCCTTGGAGGGGAGCTGAATGAGAGGGAGCAGGCAGGTTTGGGCCAAGTGGAGACCCCCAGCTAGGGCACCCCCTGATGGCTCCTGACATTAACTGTTTCTCAGCGCTCCGCTCTCCCTGCGCCTCACACTGCTTCTCATCTTGGGGAGATGCTGGCTCTGTGGGCAGGCAGGCGGAAACCGTCGGCCCTGGCCCTCCCTGCAGACCTTCCTGTTTATGGCACTGTGTCTGTGTACCCGGGAGCGTGGCCTCACGTGGTCCAAGGCTCTTTCCTGTCTCGCTCCCCGCGTGGTGCCCTGGCCTCTGAGGAGGGAACTGAGGCTGGGGAGGAAGAAGCTTGTGCCCGCCCAGTGGGACGGAACTGGGTCTCTTTCTTCTTGCAGAGAAGCCAGCCCAGAGCCGCCTGGGTCCTGCGGCTGCAGGAGTGGCTCATTGAGAGGATCCTTGGGCCTTCGCCTGGGGGCTGTGCCTGGCAGCACCAGGCTGGCACAGGAAGGAGCAGCAGCTCCAGAGTTCATTGCTCTGGACCCCAGAGTGAGGGCAGATCCTGGAGACTCCGTCCCTTAAACTGAAGGCAGGAAGGATGGTCCACTGGAGGGAGAGGCTGGGGACACATGCCACCCTGCATCTCTCCTCTTTTTGGATCATTTTTCTCTGTGACCTTGGCCCAGGCCCTCCTGCTTCCAGCCCTCAGTTTCCCTGTCTGCACAGGACAGTGGCTTCCGGCACAGACCTGAGCTGGTTAACGGCAGTGTGGGGCCCCGGCTGGTTAAAGGTGGTGGGGTGGCAGGTGGGCCTTTGTGGCAGCAGGCTGGGACGCGTGTGCCGCCTTTGTCCTGGCGGGGCAGCGGGGGAGGAGGTGTGTTTTGTGTGTTTTCTGCTGCAGAGGAGCCTTTCTCTTCCTGCAGTCCCCTGCAGGAAGGGGCAGGAGCAGGGGCAGGGGGGGCATCTCGCCTCCTCTGCAGCAGATGGTCCCCAGCCTCCTCCTTCCCAGCCCAGCAGGCTGCTGGTGCCTTTGTTTTCCAGCCTGTGAAGTTTTAACCATTGTCAGGGTCCCCTCCTTAAACAAATCAAATGCAGCACTTGGCTTCGGAAACTCTGCCCATCTCGCTGTGCCAGCCCAGGGTTCCTGGGAGCAGAGCTCCAGGACAGACTCCCTGAGGACTGTGCTTCAAGCGGACTTGGGTGGGGAAGGGAGGCCAGGCTCAGGGCGACAGCAGGGCTGGCCTGGGAGGGTGGTGGGCAGCGACTACACTGAGACAGCTGAGGGCAGGTGGGTGGACAGACCGCAGGTGAGGGAAAGAGAGGAGGCTCGGTGACTCCAGAGCTCTGGGTTCTAGAAAGTGGGACAGCTGAGCTGGTCTGGAGGAAGTGCTCCCTTCACTCTTTTTCAATTTTTAAAAAATTTTTTTCTGTGTTGGGCATGGAACCCAGGGCTTTGAGTATGCTAGGCATGTGCTCTAACATTGAATTACACCTCTGGCCCTTTAAAAAACCTAAAATCAATTTAATTATTATTATTATTTTTTACCACTGTGTAGTTCAGTCTGCCCTTGAACTCACTGTGTAGCCAAGGCTGGCTTCGAAACTGCAGTGATCCTCTTGCCTCAGCCTCCTGAGTGTTGGGATTACATGTCCAGCAAGCCCTTCTTTGGTGGAAGGGCTCAGTATTGAGGTGAAACCTTCCAGGGGGAAATCCCAGCTGTGGGGGATTTGACAGCTTGGGGCTCAGGCAGTGGCCAGAGCTGAAGGTGCAGATGGGACAGTGCCCAGGCCCCGGTGATGGCACTGCTGGCTGGGAGGCAGAGGACCTGGGCTGGGCTTGGGTCACCCACACTCTCCCCGTGGACATTAGGGACTCAGCTTGGCTACGTCTAAGGTGGAGGTGGGCAGTGGATGCCAGGGTGAAGGGCTCAGAGGTGGCTGCCTCGTGGGTTTCCCTGGGAGGTCGCAGGTGCTAGGACAGGGAGACCAATCAGACCAGGCTGTGGTCTCTGGGATTCAGTCTTTCAGTGGGGGGCACCAAGAGATAAATTTCCATCACTGAGAAGTTGGGGTTTCCATAGAAAGACAGAGTGGGGGCTAAGGAGAGTTCCCTGGAGAAGCTAGAGGGTGTCAGGGAGGGGTTCCTGGGAGAGGTGACACTTGAATTGGGAGCTTGAGGGTGGGAAGAAGGTACAGCATGTGCAAAGGCTCAGAGAGAGAGAGAGAGAGAGAGAGAGAGAGAGAGAGAGAGAGAGAGAGACTCTGTGTGTGTGTGTGTGTGTGTGTGTGTGTGTGTGAGAGACATGTTTGGGGAACTGAAATCTGGGCAAAGAGAAGCCCCAGGAGTGGGACAGGACATGCTGAGATAGGACTGCATCATAAGGTGGCAGGGTTCGGAGGTCAGGTTCCCCTCACTGGTCACATTTTGCAGGTTGACCTTATCTCAGGGGAAGCTGGGAGCCAGGGAAGGGTCAGCAGGGAGTGGTGGGCATGGGCACTTCCTGACTCTGGTCCTGGGAGGGAAGCAGATGTACGGAAGTGAAGCAGCCCTGTGGCAGTCCCCTGAGAGGGCTCAGGAGCAGGTCTGGGCCTTGGGACACAGGTCTGGTCTCTTCCTACCTCTTTCTGTGCCCTAACCTGGCTTCTGTTCTTCAGTGCCTCAGTTTCTCCTGGGGTAAAATAAGCAGAGCTGGCTTCATTGTCTATACCACACAGTCTCATTCACTCTCCTAGCTGTTATGGTGCTTTGTTTTACAGATGGGTAAACTGAGGCAGGGCTGTTGTGATCTGAAGGACCAGTTCCTAGAAGAGGTTTATGGGTGAACGGGGAGGAGCGTTTGCATCCAGAGGCCCTGAGCTTGGAGGGAGGACAGGGTAAGGAGATGGGGAATGGAGGACTTTCAGTATTTCTTCTTGGGATTTTTTTTATTTCCTTTTTCCTCACTTAGGGATTCCGAATTGTGTCAGGGCTGAGCAGGACAGCACAAGTTTTGGGGAGGCCTGGAAGGCGCTCAGGGGATGAAGGGAGCCGTGAGGGAGCTGAGAGGCTCTGCAGGGGCTGGGATGGGTGTGACAGTCCCTCTGGATGGGTGTCCCTGCTTGGGCTGCTTCTGCAGGGGTTGTTTCTGTCTCTTTCCGTGTCTGCATTTGGTCTGTTTGTAGCTGAGCAGCTTCAGCCCACCTGGAGGTGGCAGGCAGAACCCAAGGTCGTGGGTTGGAATCCCAGCCTTGGTTCTTTGGGAAGGGAACAGATCCTAACATCTGTCACCTAGGGTCTAGAGAGGATTGCTGGGGAGCAGGCATGGGTGACGCTCCTGGTGGGTGCCTGTCCAGTGGGGAGAGCCCAATGGGACCATGCACACAGTTTCTGCACTTGTGTAGGGGTTTGTGGTTGTGGAAGAATCACTGTCCCCTGAATGGTTTGGGGCCTCAGGATGTGGGTGTGGAGCCCTTTCACAGTCTGTGTCCTGATGGGGAATTTAGAGTTGTGTGACAGTGAGGTGTGTGGCAGGAGAGGGTGTGGTCCTGCCAAGGGTGTGTGGTTCTGTAAAGGCGCTAAATATATATGAGGCCGCAAAAGCTGTGCGTGTCTGTTGGTGTGTGTGTGTGTGTGTGTGTGTGTGTGTATGTGTGCGTGCGTGCACGTGCATGCATGTGAGTCATCCAAAGGGGGCAAACACCATGGGTATGTGTCTGTCCCTGGAGGAGGACAGCAGGCTTTCGTGTGTGGACCCGCCTGGGCAGTGGCTGTGGACTGGCTTGGGGGCATCCTTGACAGACCTGACTCCGGTCCCCTTTTCCTTCTCAGACGTTCATTTTCACTGACGGTGTGGACACAGGCCTCCAGGAGAGACTGGGTAACTCTGCCCACTTGGGGATAGGAGTGGTTAAGGCTTGGCTGGTGCCAGGGGAAGCCCGGTGGCTGTGCTGTGGTCTGGGGCTTCTCAGCACTCGGGGTGTACCTCTGACACTGGGGATTCTCCTTTACCCAGAGGGAGGGGCTGCTGGACCAGGCCTTGGACACCTGGGTCCTAGCATAGACCAGGCAGCAGCCCTTCCAGGCTCTCTGAGGGCGGGCAGTGGGGAGGACCTGGGCAGGGCCCCCTGACTCCTCTTTTCGCCAGGGTCCCACCTTGTGGTCACCAACTGCTCCGCAGAACACAGCCACCTGGCCCTGTCCTGCAAGATGGCTGCGGAGTTTGACGCCTTCCTGGCCAGTGGGCTCCGGTGCGTGACCCTGCGTCTCTTGGGAGGGGTGGCCTTTGCCTCCCCTGGGGCAGCTTCCTCACAGAGCCTGTGCAGTGCCTGCACAAAACAGGGGCCTGAAAGGGCCGCTGCCTGCTGGAACTGTCTTGGTTGACTGTAGGGGCCCCACAATGACTGTAGCAGGGTGGGGGGTCCAGCTCACTGTCCTGCTTCGATCCCCATAGGTGGTTCTGCCATGTAGATGACGACAACTATGTGAACCCCAGGGCACTGCTACAGCTGCTGACAGCCCTGCCACAGGGCCGTGACGTCTACATCGGCAAACCCAGCCTGAACCGGCCCATCCACACCTCTGAGCCCCGGCCGCACAACCGCACGGTCAGTCTGCCCTTCCTTCCCTTCCTCCTTTGCCCATTGGCTTCTGGTCTTGGGGGAAGAGGTTAAGGGGGTGCATGGTGGAGAGGAGAGTTGGATTCAGGGTTTCAGATTTGGTTCTGTCTTTGTGGGTTTAGGACAGTGGCTTTAGGTCTTGTCTGTGAAATGGGGAGCCTGAGATAATGCAGGTGAGCCCTCGGTCACCCAAGAGCGTGGTTTGTGGGGGTCACACAAGCAACTAGAATCTTTCTGACTGCAAGGTGAACTCCTGGCCACCCAGTGTCACAGCGTATTTGTGCAGATTGTTAAATCCTGGAATAGGACCGGGGCAGGTAAACTGCTGCTTCTCTGTGCTCCAGAATACTCTTCTCTCTTGGTCACCCCCTCCCAGGTCTTCCTCTAATCAGCAACTCAGAGTGGACCCCTGGCTCAAGAGGGGGCTCCCCACACCATCTTCAGCTCCATTCCTGATGGACACTGATGAGAGTCACCAGGTTTAGAAAACCAACGAAGTGCCAGAAACCCAGTTACATCTGACATTTAGAGAAACAGGGAAGGATTTCTTAGTATAAACGGGTCTCCAGTGTTGTGTGATTCTCCCCTGTCCTCAGATCCCACTGTGCTTCAGGAGTTGGGTGACCCAAACAGCTCCAGCTCCGTGGGCCCCAGGGAAAAGGCAGGCAGGAAGTCCCCCATCTGCAGGCAGGGCCTGGAGCAGGAGTTGGGCGCTGTGGGTGCTCGCCCTCCTGGATCACCATCTGCTTTGTTAGGGAAACTGAAGTCTTAATTATCAGCAGCTCGGCAGCTTCTGAGCTCTAATTAAATCCTCCTGGCCCCGGTGTGGTGGTGGTAGTGGTAGTGGTGTGTGAGCCATTCCTGGGGTGCCCAGGGATTTCGGGGCACACATACTTTATCCCTGGTCTCTCCCTTGGCTGGCAGTTTGCCTTCAGGCTGCCGATACTCAGTGCCTGACTCCCTAGTTCACAAGCCAGCCCTGCTGCCTCCTGATGTGGTCACCTTGACCAGTTACATCACCCTCTGTGCTTAGTTTCCTCATCTGTGACACAGGTGACAGCAGCCCCTACTCACAGTGTGGTTGTGAGCGGAGCCATCTCCGAAAGTCCTTGGGATAGGACGGAGCATGTAATGGACATGCCTAGGGGCCAGCGGTCAGTGCAGAGAGCTCTGCCTTCATTTCTGAGCAGTGCTTTTCCTGGGCAGGCTGAGTCCCTGTCTGGGTACACCCAGGCCCCGTCCCTGTTTGGATACTGTCCCTGACAATGTGTGTGATACGTTCATTCACCTACACCCCAGAGTGGGGTCCCAGAACTCTGGACCCTGGAATGTGGCAGAACCCCTAAGTGTCCAGGCCTGTTCAGATCCTGGAGTCCTCCAGGGTGAGACTACAAGCAAGAACTCTGGTGTGGGGTCAGTCCCTGATCGTGGACCACAGGCCAGCAGCCTCACTTCTCTGTGCCTTGGTCACTTTTCCCGGGTCACAGCCCTTAGTGCATGCCTAGGTACTTAACATTGCTACTTCTGCTTTTGTTACTGTGCTTACCTGGAGGTGGAAGCCATATACATTCATTTATTATTATTATTATTATTTTGTTTTGGTACTGGGGATCGAACTCACGACTGCATGCTTGCAAGGCAGGCGTTTATGCCGCTGAGCTAAATATCTGGCCCCTATTATTATTTTTTTAAAAGACAAGCATTTATGGGGGACCTGTGTGTCAGGTCCTCAGGAGCCATGGTCAAGCCCTGAATTTCTCAGAAGGGGACCAATCACAGTGTGCAGGTGGAGGGCAACTCTGGGCCAGGAGAAGCACTGGCTTTCGGAAGTGGAGCAGATCTGCTCATGGAAACGTGGTAAAAACAGAGAGGGGGCGTGGCTTTCTCAAGGTCACACAGCTTGCAAGGGAGGAGGCTCGGGCTTTCCCATCACCATCTTGGGCCTGTCCTCCCTGCTACAGCGTGCGCATCTGTTAAACCCAACTGTGCACTTGGGAAAGGGAACCTCGGGGAACCTGGTCAGCCCACAGATGGCACAGCGAAGGGTAAAGCGCTTCCCAGGAGCTTTAGCGATGTGCCTGGGTGAGTTCGGGTTCTTGTAGAGGAGAGGGGAGAAGGCCTTGGGCTGATGTGATGGTAGCAAAGTCTGTTAAACCTAAAGAGGTGCTCTTGGCTCCTGTGATGGAGCTGTCCTGAGGTTTGTGGGCTGCACAGTCCAAGACAGTCTGTCCCGTTCCCCGGAGAGGCCTCATCGTCTTTCTTTTTTTTTCTTTCTTGGCAGAAAACCATTCTTAGTCCCGAGAGTTTGGTGTAGCAGTGGTTTGGTGTGGACAGTAGCTCTGCCCGCTGGTGACCTTGGAGAGAGTATCTTTTTCTCGAAGTGTAGCACTCTGGGAAGGACTCTGATTGGCTTGCCTAAGTCATGTGCCTGACGCTGAGCCAATCACTAGGTCAGGGGGCGTGGCCATGTGCTCCATCTTTCCAGAGGATTCTGCCCACCCCTCTGTGATTGCTGGAAGCCTGTGGGTGTTGGTAGCACCCCTTCCCCAACCACTCATAGTTGTTCAGAGGAAAGGGCGAGATGCGATGGGCGGGTAAGATAGCATATCTTATTGAAGCAGAATCCTGGTAGACTCAGATCGGCGATCTCCTGACTCGTAATTAGCTATGTGACTTTGGGCCCGGTTTCCTTATCTGTAAATCGGGCATAACAGTGCCAGGCTGTAGCAAGTCCCTTTGAAATAAAAAGCGTTTGAGCCATCCTTGGGAGTGAAGATTCCTTACCATCCCCACTCCCCAGACTCACCCTAAACACCTTGGTCCTTCTCTTTCCAGAGGCTGGTACAGTTCTGGTTCGCCACAGGGGGCGCTGGCTTCTGCATCAACCGCAAACTGGCTTTGAGGATGGCTCCGTGGGCTAGGTAAGCCTGGAACCCACGGGTAGCAGGAGGGTGAGGAGGGGTGGCAGCCGGTGTGCCTGAGGGTTTCTGCCAAGCAGATGCCATGGGGAAGGGGTAGGCTGAATGTAGAGGCTCTCTGAGGATGTTTGGGGGCTGGAAGGGGTGATATTTAAGCTGGGACAGCCCTAGGGAACCCCAGAGGAAGGGCACTTAGGGGTAGTGGAGGCCTCAGTGTGGAGGTGGATGTACCCGGGCATTCTGGAGGGGCAGAGGCCTGGCCTCCGGGTTTTCCGGGGAAGCTGCTCTTATAATCAGGGATCACGAACTTGTGCTGAGTGTTATTCTGAGCAGGCTTGAGCTTCACCAGAAGCACAGCAACATCTAGGAGAGCAGGTGGGGTTACCTTGTTTCTACAGCTCAGGAAACCGAGCCACAGAGAGGTTAAGCAAGTGTGAGGTCACCCAGGTTCAAGGTTTCCTGGCTGCTCGCTGTGGCCCCAAGGCCCTGTGCTTTGCCGCAGTGGCAGCCTGTGATGCTTGTTCCTAGACAGGAAGGGTCCCACAGTGGGATTCACACGGCAGGGGCACCTTGTCCTAGAGCACGTTGGTGGCAGGCATGAGTATGTGACCAGGGTGCCTAGGTGCTCCGTCCTGGCTTCTGCTCACCTCTGTGGTACTTTGTGTGAGTTAGAGAAAAGCGTCACCCCCCTTCTGAGGCCACAGCGTTGATGGGCATATACTGTCAGTCCTGAGTCACCCTTCCCTGGGACGTAGCTCCTCCCCTTCCTGACCCCCGCAGACTCCTGTTTGTTCTGGGAGACCCCACTGAAAACCTCCTCAGGGAAACCCACCTCACTCTCCTATGCCCCTCACCGTATGCTTTCTTCTAACTTAGTGCCAGCGCTGCCCCAAATGACCTATTTCTGTCTTTGTTCCCCCAGAGCGGGGCTGCCTTGGAGGCCAGGAGGCACTTTTTTCTCATCCGTACATTTCACCCCTATCTTGGGGCAGTAGATTCTCAAGCTTGACACACACTAGTGAGAAGAGAGAGGCTGTGTCTATGCAGGTCTTCACGCACCCAGCCTCCAGCGATTCCTCCCAGCAGCCCCGAGAAGCCAGGCCCTGCATCATCCCATTTCCCAGAACAGGAGACTGAGGTTTCTGACTTGAGCGAGTCACTCAGTGTGCCGAGCCCGCTGCTTGAGCCGAGGGAGGTGGGGAGCCTGGATGTGGGGACCGAGCCCTCTGCTACAGCCCAGCTCTGTCCCCCAGTGGCTCCCGCTTTGTGGACACCTCTGCTCTCATCCGGCTGCCTGATGACTGCACCGTAGGCTACATCATCGAGTGCAAGTTGGGGGGACACCTGCAGCCCAGCCCCCTCTTCCACTCGCACCTGGAGACCCTGCAGCTGCTGGGAGCTGCCCAGCTGCTGGAGCAGGTGAGCCGGCCCTAGGGCGGGTGGTAGCAGTCGGGGAGGAAGGCCCCCCCAAAGGATTAGGAGGGATTTGAATCCAACTTGAAACTTGAAATTATGGGGTGTGGCCCATCCCTTATTGATGGGGAAACTGAGGCCCAGGGTGGCAAAGGACCTGCATAATGGCACACCCTGTGACATCTCTAACCTGTAGGGGTTAGTGTCTGCCCTGCTGTGACTCTCTGATCTGGTCTCCAAGTGCCAGCTGGGAGGCCTGCACGGATGAGAGGAGGTTGCCTCTGGGTCCGGCCGCCCTGCTCCCCGCTCCTGCCCTGTCCAGGTCTCTCTCCACTCCTCTGTCCCCTCCGCTCTGCACATCCTCCTGCAGAGTCAAGCTGGCCCTTTCTGATGTATCCCTTTGGGGAGCCCCTTCCTGGTCACAGCTTCCCTACTAAATCTGAGGGTACCGGAAAGGGACAGGCTCCCATTCCGACAGGCAGGGAGTGATTGCCGCTCCTGCAGACCCGGCCTCCAGCCCCACAGGTGGTCCCAGCTAGGTGGGCCAGAGTGTGGCCAGCTCCTCTGGGGTGCAAGTCACAAAAACTGGGCATGAGTCCGGAGGCAGATCAGTGTGCTACACGGAGAAGCCCAGGGCCTGGCTTGTGAGGTCTGGCTGCATCCAGGCACTGTTTCCTCCCCCATCTGTTGTCCTGTGTGTGGGCCTTGTCCTCAGACAGGCTTAGGGCATGGGCTGGCAGGAGGGCAGCCCCAGGTCTGCCCCTGTCTCCCCTCAGATCCCAGTGCCTGGAGGAAGGAGTGTTGGTTGGCTAACCTGGATCAGGGATCTAGGGGTGATCAATCCTATTAGGATCCCAGAGTCTGGAGCCAGGAGAGAGGGAAAGAACTTAGGCACCCAGGCGCAGGGCTTCTAATGGTTAGGGCTCCTGAGCGCCCACCATGCTGGGGCCTTGTCCTTAGCTGTGGCTCCTCTGTGTGAAGGAACCCGTTTCCGCAGGACTGGTTTCTAGGGTGCCCTTGGTTTCCTAGATCCTGGGATACTCAGTCCTTCAAATAAAATGTGATTAGATTTGCACATAAATGACACAGTCCTCCTTAAACTTTAAATCATTCTCAGTTAGTTTTTTTCTTTGAGGCAGAGTCTCGCTATGTAGTCTCGCTATGTAGTTCTGGCCTTGAATTCATGGTGATCCTCCTGCCTCAGCCTCCCAAGTGCTGGGATTACAGGCATGTGCCACCAGGCCTGGCTCTCAATTACTTATAATACCTGTAGAATGTAAATGTTATGTAAATTGTTGTTCTACCGTATTGTTTAGGGAATAAGAAGAAAAAAATCTGTGCTTATTCAGGACAGATGTGATTTTTTTACTCCTGTTATCTTTTTGGGCCGCTGGCCTCATGCATGCTTGGCAAGTGCTCTACCACTGAGCTACACCCCCAGCCCCTTTTAACATTTTATTTTGAGCCAGGTTCTTGCTATGTTGTCCAGGGTGGCCTCGAACTTGTGATCTTCCTGCCTCAGCCTCCCCAATAGCTGTCCATGGGTGCATCTGTCTCTTTGCTGAAGTCCTGGTTCCATGCCCCGCAGCGTGGTGCAGCAGGGGCGACTGGTGGCAGGGACATCAGGCCCACAGTGAGTGTCTGGGGGAAGTGGGCTCAGCCTGCAAGTCCCTAGGCCCAGGTGTCACTCAGCCCCCAGGTAAGCCATGCTGTTGCGGTGCAAATGGACGGGGGCACGAATTCACCCTACAGGATGTCAGCTACCTTTCTACCTGGTGGCAGCCGAAGCCAGTGGCAGTGAGGCTTCCTGTGCCCCTCGTGTGCCTCAGTGGCGGAGCATTTTCCCGCCATACATGAGTTTCCCCTCAGCACCGACCAATAAATAACTAAAATGCATCTGCCTCCATGCCAGCACCAGATGCTGCCCCTCGGGGGACCCAGTGGGATGTCCCCAAGGCATCTTTGCTTCTTTCTGCCCAGGTCACTCTCAGCTATGGTGTCTTTGAGGGAAAACTCAATGTCATTAAGCTGCCAGGCCCCTTCCCCCTGGAAGAGGACCCCTCCAGGTGGGTCTGGGGGTGAAACGGAGGTGTGGGGGAGGCTGGGCCCTGGCACTGCAGGGTGGGTGCTGGGAGTGGGAGGAGCAGGGAGCGGGGGCGGACTGCATGGGGAGGGAGGAGGGATCAGTGTGGCTGGCTTGCTGTGTGGCCTGAGGCAAGCATTCTGCCCTCTCTGATTTTTAGCCTCCCCATTTCTAATACTCAGAGGCTGGGCCTGGTAGATGTGAGGGCTCCCCCAGCCCTGAACCTCTGGATTTGTCAGGCACCTGGAAGGCTGAGCGGTCTTCACTGAGCAAAGAGGTCTCCGAGTAACGCAGAGCTTCAGGCCCAGGGGCCCGGTGGATTATTTAGTGGTTCTGGACTCCTTGCCTCTCTGACGGCCTTCTTGCAGGTCTGCCCAGCGCAGGTGCAGGGGTGGGGCTGCCACCTTGGCCTCCAGCTGTGATGTGCAGCTCCGGCCTGCCCCTGGCTGCTGGCTGTATCTGTGCTCTGGCCCAGGCAGAGGGGAACGGTGTGGGGCACCTGGAGCCCAACCCCAGCCTGGCACTCGGCCCTCCCAGTGCTCTTGCCCAGTAGCGGGCTGGCTGCGTCTTACAAAGCTCCAGCCAGGAGCCACCCTGCCTGCGGCACAGGCTCCACCCCTGGCCCTCTGTCCCCAGCCTCCCTTCCCTTGTGCCGCTTGTCAGCAGCGCACAGAGGGCTTGGGAACTGGAGAGCAAGTGGGGGCGCAGGGAGACAGCAAGCGGGGACGAGGTGGGGTGAGACCTTTCAGAGGGAGCCCCTGTCCCCTGGACACAGCTGTGCAGGGACACAGGAGAAGCATGGGGTGGCGGAGCGGGGGAGGGTAAGACACAGCCCCAGATCTAACTGGAGAGTGGGGCTGGCGGGGACTTCTCAGCTGGGGTGACACAGGGGACCTGTGGCACTGTCTGCAGGCCAAGTGGTAGCACATATCAAGCCTGGTGGGGGAGACAGGTGCTGGAGCAGGCAGCCAGCGTGACCTGAGTGTGGAGACCAGTGCAGGGGTGTCCTAAGTGGCCCGGGAGGTGTCCAGGGACCCTCCCGAGGATGCTGTGGGCTCCATCTGGATTTTAGGGTCACAGGAAGTTTGTGACCCAGGGGAGCCAGGGCTCCAAGGCTCCCGGGACCACCTGTTGTGTGGCACAGTGCTCAGCTGCCCTGAGGCTGTTTATCAAGTTGCACGTTCTGAGCTTGCAGAGTCCCTCCGTGTCTAGAAACCACTCAGCATTCTAAGGTGGGAAGTGCTACCTACAAATGGCCAGAGGAGGTGTGAGAGCCAGAGCTGCACGATTAAGGGCTTTCAGAATTGGTGTTGAGCTGGGTGTGGTGGCACATGCCCGGCATCCAAGCTCTCGGAAGGCTGAGGCAGGAGAATCTCTAAAAGTTCAAAGCCTGACTGGCTAGGTGGTGAGTTCAAGGCCAGCCTGAACTACATAGTGAGACCCTGTCTCAGAAAACAAAATAAACAATCAAACAAAATGGATGTTAAGTTTCCTGGAAGCCTGAAGATCCTAACACCCATAGATTTCTGCCAGCTGGGGCTGGAGCCTCGGGTGACTCAGTTCTGTGGGGTCAGATGGCCTGGACTTGGCTGAGGTCTCTGTAAGCCATCTCTGACTTTTGAAGTTTCTTAAAACCTGGGACATTCATTTAGGGGTGACTTTGCCTCCTGGAGACATTTGGTAATTCTGGGAATGTTTTGAGCATTAGTTTGGCTGTGCCTTGGCATTTCTCGGGTGGTGGCTAGGGGGTGCTGCTCAGCTGTCCCCAGGACATGGCTGTGTGTCCTCCCCCACCAACAAAGAATAATATGCTCTGAATATTACCTGGTGCCCGTTCTGGATCATCTCTGTGACAGGTGACGTGCGTGGGACACCTCTCTGGGCCTGCAGGGTGACCCTCATGTCTGTGTCCGGTCTCTGCAGGTTTCGCTCCCTACACTGCCTGCTCTACCCGGACACGCCCTGGTGCCCGCAGCTGGCAGGCCGGTGACCTCCGGCAGGAGAGGGCGGCGCTTCTGGCCACACCATCACCTTCCGGGGAGGAGCTGTGGGCCTTGGTGAGCACGGGCTGCTGGGAAGCCCAGGATCCGGATGGCAGCTGGCACCAAGCATTGCAGGCCCTCGAGGGGCAGACAGGCTGCGTGTCTGGCTCCTGTCACCTCAGGTGCCCAGCTGGATGAGGACGGGGACATCTGAGCTGGGCTGGTGTCTCAGGCTCTCTCCCGGGGCTCAAGCAGTGGCCACAGTTCTGGCTTCCTGGCTAGATCCTCTGTCCCTGAGGATCCTGGGCGGAATCATGGCACAGCCCAAGTCTGTGACTGATGTCCCATTTCCGGGGGCTCCGTGCCACCAGCTCTTGCTAAAAAGCCATAGGATGCTCTGACCCAGGTGATGATCAGAGTGGGTCCCTGCCTGTCGTGGGATGCTTTTGCTTCCTTCTCCACTGCCCTGCTGGGAGGAGTGACCAGGTGACCCAGCTCTGGCCAGCAGAAACTCGGCAAAGCCAATAGCGATGTTTCTGGATGAGGCTTTGTAGCTCCATACCCCGCCTTCCTGTTATTAATGTGGGTGTGATGGCTGGATCTGGGGAAGCCCCTTTGGCCCTATGAAGGAAAGACCAAGACAATCATCCACAACTCTTCTTGCCAGCCTGGTTCTGAAGGAAATTAAACCTTTATTTAAGTCTCTCTGAGTTCCATTGTCTGTCGTATGCAGTCAGAGCATTCCTGACTGGGACTGGGCCTTTGATCTGTCACAGTGATGATGGCAGTCACTTCCGGTGGTGTGATAAAGTGCTCAGCACACAGCCTGGCATGGAGCGAGGAAGGCTCGGTAGTGATGACGGCGTGTGTGTGTGTGTGTGTGTGTGTGTGTGTGTGTGTGTGTCCTGGCTGTGAGGGTGTGCCCCCTGTGCGCCCCCTCTGCACACCTCTCTGCATGTGTGGTGAGTGGACTGGTGACCACGTCACATCCCGTGTGTGCCCTGAGGTGCTGCTCCTGTCGGATCCTGCTCCTCCTATCCTGCATCCCCAGAGAATCAGGGAGGGCAGAGCCTGGACACTCAGATCCAAGGAGTTCACACTTGGGTGACAGATGAAGGGGACCAGGGGTGAGTTGACAGCTGAAGCAGATGCTGAGAAGATAAAAGCACCTCTAGAATCTAGGTCCCCAGAGGTGGCATGGTGACACCTAGATAGGAAGAGCTGGGCATGGGAAGTCTCCCCGTCACCACTGTGCCCAGTGATGCTGGGACCTGGGTCACCATGGGGTACGGGTGTTGGAGGAGCCAGGGCCCTGGGGCTCCTGCGCACATGGCCTGGGCCTCGGGGACCACAGTCCTCATTCCAGTACATCTGTGACAGGGACCTTGTCCCACCGAGGACAAGGAGGAGGCTGAGCCCAGAGAGGGTGAGCTCTGTGCTCAGGGTTGCCCAGCGAGTCAGGGCAGAGTCCGGCTCGGGCTTGTCCAGACCTGCTGTCTCCCTGGCCGGCCTGGTGCTAGGTTTGTGGGATGGGAGCAGAACACAGTGAAGGCAGCCCGGGGCCGGGGGACAGGGTGGTGGCCTGGCCTCCCCTCCTTGCTTGTGAGGCTGCTGGCCAGCTGGCCTGATTTTAGCAGCAGCAGGAGCAGCAGATTTTGCAGTTTTTCCCAGATCCTGGGGTCAGGTGGAGGGCACAGGGCTCCGGCCATATGCAGTCCCTGTTGTCCCAGAATAGCAGGGTGGTGGTGGTGGTGGGGGCACTGTCAGCACGGAGCCGCCCTGGGGTGGGGGAGGGAGTCTGGTTTAACCCTCGGGACCTCTACAGGGGAGTCTCCAGAGCTGCCTGGACCCATCTAGGCCCCAGGGGCAGGGCTGGAAGCGAGGACCAGACTGGACCACCCCGCCTTGGCCCTGCTGGGCCCCTCAGCCTCACTTTATTTTGCCCGTGACCTGTGGTCCCTGTCTGCCCCTCTCAGCTGCGCATGAATGTGATAAGCAGAGCTCGGAGCTCTGTGGGTACCTGAAGGGGGAGAGTGCGGGGACAGGAGCCCAGGGACACAGCCCAGGGGACCAGGGGACACTGGCTGGCTCCCACCTCTCCTGGTGACACTGCACTGCATGGATGACTCTGGATGGAGCCTTGTTTTGGTCACTTTCTTCGTCCCTGGGACAGAACACCTGGCTCCCACACCTTGAAGGAGGGAGAAGTCTATTTTGGCTCATGTTTCAGTCGAGGGGCAGCTGGATCCACGGCAGGATGCGGGGCAGCGGGGCCTGGCCCAGGAGAGCTGCTCACGGCATGGCGGACAGGAAGCAGTGAACACGGGAGGAGCTGGGGAGGGGGGCAGACCTCCAGGTCACACCCCTGGTGACCGCCTCTCTGCCCAGACCCCCTGCCTGACAGCAAGTCAGCTATCAGCCCCTGTAACTGCCCCGACTATGACTGCCTGTGGCTTTCAGGGGACATCTAGTTGTAAACCACACGTGCCCCCTACTTCCTGTACACTGGTACTTAGGTCTGGTGGGTGGACCTGACAGAGGACCATCTACTGCAGCAAACACAGCTTTCGGGTGGTGCTGGCCCTGTGAACCTGGCCTCCAGCAGTCAACGGGCAAGATAGACACCTATCTTAGCTACTTTTTACTCGTCGCTGAGACAAAATACCTGAAGCCCAAGTTGGGAAAGGAAAGGTTTATTTCTTACAGTTTTTGGAGGTTTCAGTCCACACTCAGTTGACTCCAAGGCAGGCGGGCATGGCAGGGCCACAGTTCATGACGGCTGCAAACAGCAAGCCAGAACCAGCAAAGAGCAAGACACACCTTCTTCCTGCCATTACATCACATCCTGGCTCCACCCCTATGTGGGTGGAGCATTGACACCATCAATCCAAGCACTAGAAAATGAACCAATCACAAATACACAATGCAAACTCATGAGGCCTGGGGGCCACAGACATAAACCATGACAACACCACAGCAGGGAACCTGGGTCTCCACTGTGCTCTGCTGTGGACGCATGTGTCACTGGTCATAGGAGCAGTGTCGAGGTCACCTGGTACAAGCTGTGTGTCCAGCCTTGGCCTGAGCACTTGACACACGTGCAGTCACTTTATCTTCCCTTCAGAGTAAACACATTTTCCCATTTTACAGATTACAAAGTTGAGGCACAACAGGAGAGAAAGACCTTGTCTGGGCCCTGGGTCTTCTTGAGACTGGAGCCCTGGTTTGACCCAGCCTGGTTTGGTGGTGGCCACTTCAGTGACTTCAGAGGTTGGAGAGCCTCACTAGGCCTGGGCTCCCCCATCCTGTGCTCCCTGGCCTCATCTGTGAAGTGGGCAGGATGGGTCCTCTGGAGCAGGCTATGGGACACCTGTCTGCTCCCCTGAGTGCGCGTTCTCAGCTGTAAGAGGGACTGTGGTGGGGGAGGGGCACTGGCTCCACTGCACCCTCATCCCTCGCCCCAGAAGCCCCCCTGAGCGCCTGGGGGCCAGCCCTTGCTCCCTGACCAGGATAGGATGGTCTCCTTACTTCCTCTGGAAGGTCCTAATTTTTCTGGCTGTGTAGCTTTTCTCTTCCTGGAACGCACCCACCCCTTCCTGGCTGAGCCTTTCTGGCCACCGGCACACAGCTGGTCGCTGCCCGTCCCCGTGGTGGCCCTCACAGACGTGGCTCTCGTCAGTGCGCTGGGCTGTGGGTTGGTGGCTGTGCGTGTCCACCCGCTGTTGGCTGTGTGGTCAGCATCCTGGGAGTCTGTGAAAGGAGCCAGTGCCGCTGGGGGCCAGGTGATGGGACGGCGGTGTTTTTGATGGAGAAATTACTGTAGCAGCCCCAGAATCCGTACTTATTCTTAGCAATTTCCCAAGGAAAACCCTGGCCCCAGGATTCAAGAGGAAGAGCTCAGCACCTGCCAGGAGTTCTGTTCACCAAAACACAAGTCCTTGGCTTTTAATTTTTTTAATTTTAAAGAGAATAAAACCTAACAAACTCAAACAGAATAAAGCCAATCAAAACAAAACAGTGAAAATGGTACAGGACTTCAAAACAGGGTAACAGGAAATCAACAACGCTCCCATGACACCTCCTGTTATCTCCACAATAGTGGTCCATACCGCCAGACACAGTAAACTCAAATAAAATAGAACAGAGTAAAATCAGCCAAAATAGAACATTAAATAAAACAAAACAATAAATGAGAACAAAAGTAAGCAATGACAACAATATTGGATTTCTTTTTTTTTTTTTTTTGTCTTTTTCATTTTTATTGGTACCAAGCATTGAACGCACGACCGCCTGCTTGCAAGGCAGGTGCTTATGCCACTGAACTACATCCCCAGCCCCAATATTGGATTTCAAAAACAAGACAGAGGGCTGGAGATCTAGCTCAGTCACATAAGCGCCTGCCTGGCAAGCACGAGGTCCTGAGTTCGATCCCCAGTACCAAAAACAAAAAACCAAGACAGAAGGAAACTCCCCATACTTGGTATCTGTGTACTGTCTTCCTCCTCATAGATGCTCAGACTACCCGCCTCAGTCCTGCAAAGTCAATCAAACAATTCAAGTGTTTACTGTTTCTGCACCTCAGGGGCTATCAGCTCAGCCTGCCCTCTGAGTCAGCAGGTTGCTGGGGGTGCACATACGGGGAGGGGGCTTCTTGATTCTCAGCACATGTGTCAGTTGGTTCACAGGAGGGGTGAACTGGCTTCTCTCTTCCCTGCGTGGTTTGTGCGGCTTACTGGAAGGGCAAATTGGCTTCTTGCTGTGCTCCTCCCAGACCCAGCATGGCTTCTGCTGACATGGGGGAGGTTGTTTTGTTTCGTTTTGTTTTGAGACAGTGTCTTACCATGTGGTGCAAACTAGCTTTGAACTTGCTTACATAGCCCAGACTGGCCTTGAGCTCACAGCCTCCCTAGTGCTGGGGCCACGGGTTTGTGGGGCTACGCCTGGCTGTTCCTGACTTCTGAGTCAGGAACTTCCACAGCCACGCCATAGAATACTCACAAGTGTATTGTATGAGACTTACTTTGCCAGATTACGAACAAATCTGACTCACCAACATTCTGCAATGGAGCTCACTGGTGAGTCCAGCCTGCAGTCAGCTGAATCTAAATGCTGTGCCAGTGTCCGGGGAACTCGGGGTACAGTGAGGCACGCTAAAGTGCACCATGAGGGTTCACCCCACTAAGTCAACTACAGGGACGTTCTTCAACTGAGGACCTGGATCCTCCCACAGGTAAAATGACATAGGAAAGAGAGAAAGAGAGAGAGAGAGAGACGAGAGACCTAAGGGACCTCACCCCAAGATGTGCTGTCTCTCACTGGCTTTGATCTGGACTCAAGTCAATTTACCCTAAAAAGATTTGTGAGGAGGATGAGCACATTTGAGCAGGCGCTGTGCTGGATGATATTGAGGAATTACTCACATTCCTAGGCGTAACAATAATATTGAAGTTATTTTGAGAAATGTTCTAATATGTGAGAAGCGCATTCTGAAATATTTATGGGTGAAGTCATACGGTGCCTGGAATTTTGTTAAAAAGGTACCCGAGGGGAGCATGAAATGTGAAGACAAGTGGGGGTGGCTGTGCAGGGCTGTCGGGGACCGGGGAGCTCTTACACCATCCTCTCCACTTTTGTGTGTGTTTGAGCATTTTTTAATAAAATCACCTTAAGGAATAAGCGGGTCTGTGGCTGTTTCATTTTGCTGG